GTACATTTTATAAATCAAAAGCACTTTTTTGCTTTAGTTTATAAAAAATTACAGGTTACATACAATCTTAAATCAATAATTATGTCAACTCTGAGTCTTCAAAAGTTTTTTGTTTCCTTTCAACAAACTGAACTTAATTTATATTTAACTTAAATAACTTTCATGGTATGATTTTTTATTCATATGATAAAGATATATAAGTTTAGCTTGGCTGGGTGGGCTGTCTTTCTATCTTTATCTAACCCTATAAGCTGTTGAAATTTTCTGACTTTTTCTACATACCCAAAGACTTCCCTTTAGGCCTAAAACCGGGCTTTAATACTAACTGCCTGAATGACTGCTTTTTCCTGTAACAAAATAAATCTTTGTTTTGACCTACTTCCACTTGTCAGATTTTGATAAAATTTAGCTTTTTGGAAAGCCTTTGACATAAGAAAACGAATTGCACAACTGTTACGAAAAAAATTGCAATTTTTTTGCAAACAACCTGTCAAAGGAAATTTGCACATTTTTGTTTTTCTTGATTAAAAATCAGGTTATTTAAAATTTTATAGCCGTCGAGAAAATGCACAGAGAAAATGGAAAGCAGGTTTTTTGTACTAGCAATACGATTTTCTATTGTGGCATGCAACACCATGAATTTTAAATTTGCGCTATTACTATGCAATTGTGCACAGGAAAACATAGACCGATCAGGCGCTAAATTTATGGCTACTGATGTAACACAAGGAAAGGTTTATGGCTGAACTTGAAAAATTGTGCAAAGAAAAAATTGTCGATTTAAAAAAAAAACAATATTAAAAATGGAATTACAAAATCAACATTCAAACACTAAAATTGTTGTTATATAGAAAGCCGAGTAACTTTATACTTAAACTAGGCTTTCAGGGCGCTTCGTGCCCATCTTCTATTTCAATTGTGAACATGTTCTCATTGAAAAACAAAGAAAAAAAAAAATTCGCGGATTTTCTGAAAAAAATTCGCGGATTTTCAAGATTTTAAATTGTTTTACTAAAATAAAAAAAAATTTCAAACACCAATTTAAAATTTTTTATCATTCATAAACATTCCCTGGGGTCAAGCGAGATCCCACGAAAAAATTGGGCCCGATCGGTTCAGCCGTTTTGACGTTTATTAGATACAAACAAACACCCACCCCAGCCAAACTTGTATATATAGATGTAAAGTTTTACAGATTATAGAGCATACATACATCATTCGCATAATGTATTGTATATGTTATATGTTGAGATATAAACCTAGAGGCATAAACAGATAAATTATTTATATATATATTGCAATTATCCATTTGTCATATTGTTGTCTGCTCTAGACCAAAAATGGTTGCAAATGACACAGTGTCTCAAATAAACATGATAATCTTTTGAGGATTTAAAATTAAAATAAAAATTTTATTGGACTTTCTTGTAGCATTCAGTCTGTTTACTAGGTTTGTGGATGTAAAAACTAATCAAACAGTTTTTTAAGATTTTCGTTTACGCATTTAAGGTTAAATCAGAATTTAAAATTTAGACAATTCCAAGGTTAAATTAAGTCTTTTTTCTTAAGTATAGTTATGATGGCATTTTTGGCAAAGAAAGAAACAAGTTATGCTATTGTGGCTGGAATCTGAAATCTCTGAAAACAGAGATACAAAATACAGTGCAGAACACAGTGCAGTCGTCTCTGAAGTCACATCCTTTGTAGGTAAACCTGTACGTACATTAATATACAGGGTTAGCCGTAAAGGATAATACTTCCAAGACGACTGTACAATATGGTTTTGGATCTTGTAGTACATTATACCTTTAAAGTTCCCTGCAGCTTTAAACTTGCTTCAATTTTTGCAAAATTAAAGACAGAATAGCGAATACCAAGAAAACCTTCAGATATTCATGTTCACAGAGTTTTTGTGGCATTGAAGTCTCATCCTTTGTGACTTTTGAGTAACCCTGCAACTATTTAAAATCAGCCGGCATGGAACACCAACTTTTGATAACCTTAAAAAGTCTAATTTTGAAAAATAAAGTATTTGAAATGTTTTCATGTACACTACATTGTTCATTGTGATGGGCACAAACTCGTCTTCGCTTTTCACAAAATGTTGCACACGTAACAAATTCTGAAGAAAACAAACAATTGTACTATATGCAAAAGAAAATATGAAACCTGAAAAAATTAAATTTACACAAAATTTAATTTCATAACATTAGTTAGTTTATTGATCCATGTATAGGATTCATGTATTTTCAAAGACTGTCGAAATAAGAATTCATCAACATTACAAAATGTCGTCGTCATTATTTTCGGACAACTCGATTGAAAAATGCCAATATTAAAAACTATCCTTGAGAATTGATTTAAATTATGTATATAAATTTCGAACTGGGATTAAACAAACTTAATTATTCTTAAGTATTTTTACTCCTCAAAATATATGTACAAAATTTAAATCAATTCTCAAGAGTACTTATTTAATAAATAAGTATGAAAATCTAGGGATGTGCCTGGGCATCTTTAACCCTATCCCGATTGGGCTAATTTTGTCTAATACGGATTGGGGGGGTGTGATACCATGTCCCTAATCCAACTTTTAAAGGCATATGCTGATTATGATTAGGGTGCAAGGGAGGATTTAAAAAAAAGTTCAAAAAGTGCGCTGGAAAATTGTTCAATAATAAGTATTTTTAGTTTTGACAAATATTAACGTGTGACACATGTTATATCATTTATTTTTCAAAGGCTTTTCAAATATATAAATTTTAGCCCTGTAGCTTATTTAATATAAATAATTTTTCTGAAACACCGACCCGCCGCTTAGTGTCCTCCTGACCTCCACCCTACCCTATTTGCGCACAAAAAAAATAATTGTTCACATATATCAAGATGATAAGGTAAACAAGTTTTAGCGTTCTAATGTCAGCCGTTTTTAAGTTATTTCGAAAAAAACGACANTCCCAGTTACACCTTCGGCAAGTTCTTCAACAATCAATACAGCACACATGTGAGGCCATTCTCCAAACTGAGATTCTCCCTCAGTGAACCCCTGAATCCTAGCTCCAACTCCAGCTACATTTCTTCTTCCACACTTAGGCGTTAAAAACAATCCTTAACATTAATTTAAGTTTGTTTTTCAACCGACGAACCTGCTTTTTTAGATCATGAACAGTGAAAACTAACTTAAGTGTAAGTAAGCCACAAAAAGGAAACAAAGTCAAAATCCACAAAATGTTGGGAATTCTTACAGTTTAAAAGTAATTGGATTAAGCAAACTGAAGACAACTGTTTAGTTTGCGTTGTTTATTGATAAATAACATAAAATGAAGGACTTCTTCGTTCGCTTTCAGTCACAAATAAAAGTTTTTGGAATCACAACTAAAAATTCTGGTCATTAGGCATTAGGCAGTTAAGTTTTAAGCTAAAAACAATCGGAAGAAAACTATAGAACAGTTTACTAAGTTAATATTCCAAACCAACCCAAAGAAAATGAGTTGTTTTTTCAAAAAACTCTGATTTTCTAATCCCTATATTTTTGCAACCCGATGTCGTAGATATTTCTAAATATATATTCTGTTTGATCAAGTAGTCTAATTTTGAATATATCAAATGTCGCCTTGAACATTTTTAATGGACTTTCCTACTGAGAATATTAAAACTAGAAGCAATATATCCCTAAATCTTAGTAATTGTACTGAATGTGCTGAAGCTGTCGTATATTTTCTCAAGCTGTCATTTTGCAGAAGAAGCTGCTTGCAGCATAACGAAGGGACATACGGTGAAACCCTCAATAACGAATACATCGGAAGAATTTATCAAATGTCGTCTTAACAATTTTCAAGTTTTATACTATATTACGTAAATTTCAGTATTTGAGAAAATAAATAAATAGCCATGTATATGCGGGAATAGTTTTAAAGAGTTCCATATAATCATTTAATTAAAAAACTAAACATCTGCAACATTCCGTTATCAGAAAGTGAAGAATACGACATTTGATGTTTCGTTATTAAGGGTTTCACTGTATGTAAGTTAAAATGGCTTTGTTGAAAGTGATATTTTTTCCCGAATGTAAATTTTTGGTCTCTTTTCTTTAAAAATAAATAAATAGCCACGAAATATGCGAGGAAAATCTTTTAAGAGCTCCATTGTTGGAGATTTAGAAAACGACATTTAATAAATCCTTCCGATGTTTTCAATATTTAGGAATTTGAGTTTCTGGCAAAAACTCAAATCGTTTTGGAAGGGCTCACTGTTATTTACAATATTTTCAGGTCTAGAATTTGATAGAATACTCGATATAGTCTAGATTGACAAATTTTAGAAAAAAAACTTTTTTGACTTGTGCCTCTAGTCTATTATCTATAAACAATCAGAAAAGCCATTAAATTTTTCATTTATTGAACTATAGTTTAAAATTAATATATTTTAAAGTATTCATAACAATGTTTCAATAACTTCCAAAAAAGTTTTGTTTCGTACTTTTTTAAAGCTATTTTTGAACCGCGTCAGCACTTTAAGTTTTAAAGTAAGTGATCTAAAACTCTAAGGGAAAATCATGGGCGGAGGGAGTAACCCCCCCCCCCCCACATTTTAAGACAAAAATAACCTAAAAAGGATTATCCTAAATAATTAAATACACTATATTTGTGATTTAAGTGACTCTCCATCAAAGATGACAATTCCCAATTCACAACTGCACCCTTTAAACCTATATCTGATGAATAATGTTAAAGATATTGTCGATTTACAAGGTTTAAAAATATAAAATTAGGATAATCACCATATGTTTTCCTGCTGTAGAAATGTGCAAGTCAAAATTGGGGAGAAACAACAACCAAAAATAAACAGTTTTGAAATTTGAAATATTGACATATAATTCATTCTTGATCAGACAAAGCTTTTAAGGGTATGTTTGTGAAGCCGACATTCACATCTTTTAATGGAGTGTTATTTTTGTTATTGTAATCATTTTAAATAAAACAATAATTGGTACATAACTATTAATATTGTCTGGATTTTTATTGGGCAGTTTTTACAATACATGTGGAAAGTTTTCTTAAATTATTTTGATTAAGTGGTTAATACGGATTTGAATCAGTTTCATCTTCATCTCCTCCATTTTCCTGAACAGGAGAGCCTGCATCTTTCCCTACTCCAATCCCTGAATCTGAGCCTAAGTGGTCTTTGGTTGGGTTCCAGAAAACATCACACTCTTGATACTGTTGTCGGATATTTGAGAAAACATTTGCTAAGGCTGGGTTTGCCCCCTCAATCTTAGAGTCTAGTTCATCAAACTTCTTGTTAAACCAATCTCCACACTGATCTTGTGTATTTCCAAAGAAGGAATTAAAATCTCCGTTAGAATTACCATTTTGACAAGTTACAGCATAATCTATCCAGCAAACTGCTTTACTTACACTAGCATAGACTCCTGGAATGTCCGTCTCTCCACACCCAATACCCCAGGCAACTATTCCAACCTGATCATATCTTTCAGGATCCATCTTTCTAGGACACACAAGTGGACTTCCTCCATCTCCTTCACAGGTATCCTTCCCAACAGCCCCACCAGCACACATAAATGATTCGTCCAACACAAAATTTTCTCCAAGACGGGTTTGTCTTAACTGTTCCTGACAATCAATGTTGTTAACTATGCCAAGATCAATTTCTTTTAATACAACTTGATATTCCCCTTCAGCTGAAAATTGATCTTTTCCCCAACCTGTTGCAAAGCAGGTCTCAAAGTTATAGTTCTCATAAAGTTCTGGTAAACAGACTGTGTCAACATGGAAGTTAAGATTAAACTCAGATTCAAGAAATATCAGTGCAAAATCATTAAAGAGATTTTTGGGAATAAACTCTGGATGAATTTTGACAATTTTTCCTACTCTATCTTGGTGTGGGTAGGGCTCTGACTCTCGTTGAGTGTCCCATTCTCCACATCTTACTTTTAAACTAGTTGGTTTATCTTTATATTCATCAACGCAATGAGCACCAGTAAGAATAACTCCAGGAGATATTAGGGACCCCCCACATTTGTACAGATTCCCAGTTACACCTTCGGCAAGTTCTTCAACAATCAATACAGCACACATGTGAGGCCATTCTCCAAACTGAGATTCTCCCTCAGTGAACCCCTGAATCCTAGCTCCAACTCCAGCTACATTTCTTCTTCCACACTTAGGCTGATAGATTATTCTAGGTGGAGGAGGAGGAATAAAATCAGGATCCTTGCAACATACATCAAGGAAACCAGGACATTTGCTATCAGTAGGGTTTAAGTTTCCAAACCCTCCTCTAACATCAATAAGACCTTCTCCATCAGTGATTATGCTACCATTGCTACACTGATAATAGGGTACACATTCATATCCAAGGCTCTCTGTGTACTCAGCGCAGTTTTCAAAATCTGTGTTGACTTCTACATTGGACTTTTCAAAATCAGTTTCCAGAACATAGTCAGCAGGATTATTGTTCAAACTCTCATTTGTTTTGTCAGAACTGTGATCCGCTGTGTACATGAGCATACTAATCAATTTACAGCAATAGTCAAAGAAGTAATGTAGAAATCAACCAAAGGAAATAAATGCTTTGATATATCATAATTATTTGTTAATTCTTTTTTCACATATTTATTATTTTTCTTTATATTAGCACTACATTCTCTTGAACAATGATGTTTAAATCTTATTATTTATTTATCAAATTGAAAGCTGAATGAATATTAGAGAAAAATGGCAAGAAATGCTTTAGTTATTTTTTACAATGTTAGTCTTATGATATAAATAGTAAATAAAATTGATTAGTATGAACCAGCAGATTTTGTAGGATCTACATAGCTATCAGCAGACTTTGTAGGATCAACATATCCTTCAGCAGATTTGACAGGGTCAACATACCCTTCAGCAGATTTGGCAGGATCAATATAACCAGCAGACAATTGTTCAGGGTCAACATAACCACCATCAGATGATTTAGTTGGATCAACATATCCATCAGCTGCTTTTACAACATCGGCTGTGTTTGCTGCTGAATAGCTTCCACCTCCTCTCTCAAAATTTTGCAAGTCAACATAAGAACCCTCACCACCCTGATTGATGGCCTCTTTTCCCGGATTTAACCAGTTGACCTGACACTCCTGGTATTGCTGCCTCAGTTTATTCATTTTAGCATCAAACCATGCTCCGCATGCCTGTCTTGTATTTCCAAAGTAGGAGTTAAAGTCTCCAGTAGTTTTTCCAAATTGGCAGGTCATGGCATAGTCAATCCAGCAGACAGCTTTGCTGACATCCGCATAAACACCAGGTGTTCCATCTTGACCACAGCCAATACCCCAGGCAACAATTCCAGCCTGGTCATAGGTGTTTGGATCAGATTTTCTGGAGCAGACAAGAGGACTTCCTCCATCTCCCTTGCATGTATCCTTGCCTTTGGAACCTCCAGCACACATGAACGAATCATGAAGTTGAAACTTTTTTCCAAGACGGGTCAGTCTAAGCTTATCCTGACATTCAATTTTATTCACAACCCTGAGGTCAACTTCTTTCAGAACAACTTGATAAACTCCATCAGCACCAAACTTATCTTTTCCCCATCCAGTGGCATAGCATACTTGACCATCATACTGCTCATTTGGTTGAGGTAAGCACACAGTGTCAATGTGGTAGTCTAGAATAAAGTCCTGGTTCAGGAACACAAGTGCAAAGTCATTGGCCAAGTTTCTGGGATCAAATTCAGGATGAATTTGAACTATTTTACCAATTCTATCTTGGTGTTTGTAAGGTTCAGACTGCTTTTGAGTATCCCATTCTCCACATCGAATCTTAAGTGAGGTTGGACTATTAACAAAGTCTTTGATACAATGAGCAGCAGTAATGAGAACACCTGGAGCAATAAGGGATCCTCCACACTTGTACAGGTTTGTAGATTCTCCAGTTAAACTTAATTTGTCATGTAAGACAGCACACATATGTGGCCATTCTCCAAACTGAGATTCTCCCTCAGTGAACCCCTGAATCCTTGCTCCAACTCCAGCATCATTTCTTCTTCCACACTTGGGTTGATAGATTATTCTAGGTGGTGGAGGAGGAATAAAATCAGGATCCTTGCAACATACGTCAAGGAAACCAGGACATTTGCTATCAGTAGGGTTTAAGTTTCCAAACCCTCCTCTAACATCAATAAGACCTTCTCCATCAGTGATTATGCTACCATTGCTACACTGATAATAGGGTACACATTCATATCCAAGGCTCTCTGTGTACTCAGCGCAGTTTTTAAAATCTGTGTTGACTTCAACTACGGCCTTATTAATTCCTTCTGTGTAAGAAGAAGTCTCTTCAACATAATCAGCAGGGGTGTCTTTGACAATTTGTACAACAGCATTGATTGTCCCAGCGGAGGGATTATTGGTATTTTTAGCGTTTCCATCATCTTGTACACCATAACCTGAAGCACCGGCACGGGGTAAATCTCCAAATATTCCAGAAACAATTTCAGGATCCAGATCCTGAGGGGTAGTAGAACAAAGTCCCAGGAGGGGAACAAGTAGAAGAGTTCTCATCCTAGAGTAGATGAAACTAGACTGATGATGTGAGAGCTCCGACTGCCTAATATAAGTATCACAAGTTTCTGAAGCCGGGAATTTCCAACCCCGACCAAATCTCCCGGCAACCAAACACTAGGCAGGTTTGCCTGTGTGGAGAGCCCGCAGGTCTGCAGAAAACTTGGGATTTCAGAACTGAAATTCTACGCACGTAAAATCAACGTAAAAGTTCCATAAAATCATGAGATATGAGAGAAACCCAAAGTAAAATCAATGTTTTCTATTAATGCTTTTAAAAAGGCCATTGGTTAATGCTAAGATTAGTTATAACGTTATATTTAACTAACTGAACCTTGCTTAAAAAAAGTTTTTGAACAATAAAGTGTATACAACAAGTTAGGGAGAGGTGTAAGTTTTAAGAATTATCAAATATTTAGATTTGTTGACTTTTCTGTAAGAAATGCATTTGACAAAGGGAAGGTGTGGTGGAACAAGTTTCAGATCTAGGTGTTCAATATATAGATATTCAGAAGAAATAAAAATGTTATATGAGCTAATATCATACAGAAAAATTTAGGAATTAAATATTTGAAACCATAATAAATTATATTTTTCTCCTGAACAAATTGACTGCTATCTGATATCTACTTTTTGTCGTCGGACCCATGCATAAAACTGTGGTGTAGGAAGAAAAACTATGCATTTAATATTGTTAAGAAGCAAATTTTATCAGTATATAGTGGCTTAAAAATCAACTTATTAAGCAAATATTCCTTAGTGTTCACTGCACAATTGCTGTCTTTCATTTTCATTGATAATAGAAATATTTGGAAACATAATTTGAGTCTACCAGCCGTCTCAATATTCCACAGCTTGATGTATCCCACTGTATCGATTCTTTTGTAAGAATTATTGGAAATTCTTTTTTTCATGCATATTGCTGATTTGCATATTTAAAGTGATGTTAATAATGACGAAAATAAAAATAATAATAATGAACGCAAAAAAAATAATAATGGTAATATTTATCATAATAATGATAATATTAACGGTAATAATTATAATAATAATAATAACAATGATAATAATGAAAATGATTCAGGGTTTCAAAAGTTAATCTTTAAAGCAGTCCTAAAGCTCTTTATGTGTCATTATTTAAAGGTTGAAAATGGTTTCAAACCCACTTTATTCCCCCTGCAAACCTCAAATGCATATTATCCAGTTTGTTTAGGATCGAGTATCCATTTATTAGCAACCATTCCGATCCTTTCCAGTTACTGTTGACACTTAGGTGACTCTGAAAATCCATCAGTAAGTGCTGACAGAACTTTAAGAAGAGGTAATAGATTTAATATTTTACAGTGATTCTTCATTCTAGGACGTATTCTATTATAATATTGCACAGTGGTTCTTCATCCTAGGACGTATGCTGATATGATATTTCACAATGGTTCTTTATTCTAGGATGTATTCCGATATAATATTGCACATTGGTTCTTGATTCTAGGACGTATTATGATATAATATTGCACATTGGTTCTTCATTCTAGGACGTATTCCGATACAATATTTCACAGTGGTTCTTCATTCTAGGACGTATTCTGATATAATATTGCACATTGGTTCTTCTTTCTAGGACGTATTCTGATATAATATTTCACAGTGGTTCTTCATTCTAGGACGCATTCTGATATCATATTGCACAGTGGTTCTACATTATAGTACGTATTCTGATATAATATTTCACAGTGGTTCTTCATTCTAGGACGTATTCTGATATAATATTTCACAGTGGTTCTTCATTCTAGGACGCATTCTGATATCATATTGCACAGTGGTTCTACATTATAGTACGTATTCTGATATAATATTTCACAGTGGTTCTTCATTCTAGGACGTATTCTGATATAATATTGCACAATGGTATTATAAAAGTATTGTTTTCAGAGGTCAAAAGGTACTCTTATATGGATTCAAATTGATCCAGGATGTGAAAAGTTTATAAAATGATTGTGGATAATATTTAGATTATTAGTCATAAATTAACTAAAAACAATGGGTTTCTCGTTAATAAATACCAAATAGTTTATGTTTACTTTCTTATTTACCCAATAATGATTAAGGTATGTTGTTGCTTAAATAAATATTTTTGGTAAGCGATCAACAAGTGGCAGAGACCTGCGTCTATGTGTAATGTGTATCATTTAATTTATAAAAGACTTATCAGGTTTCCTTATCAAATGTTAAGTTTAAAAGTTTTGGTTTCTCTAGATTAAGTGGGATCCCCAAGGGTTTAGAAAGAACCAGTTTTTAAAAAAGTTTGGCAATCTTCAGTTGCAAATTTAGACATCGCCATAAAAAAAAACAAGATATTGTCTAATCTACAACCAGATTTTTAACAAAGCACAATTGAACGTTTTTAACCGGCATAAAATCCCTGAAGCAAAAAAAGTATTAAGTGCAAAATTTGAAAATGTTATTTAACTTAAAAGCAGATTTTTATCGTGTTTAATAAATTTTATCTAAACTTAATCTTCAACCTTGAATAAGTGCTTGTCTAGATCTGTATTATGTTGCATTTAGAAATCCCGGGTTGGTTGAGACCAATCAAGAAAATGTTTAGAAAAAATATTTGTTTGTCCTGAAATCGAATGTTTTAATCCATATAGCGCTGCAACCTGACGATCACTAGAGTTTTTAGATAAATCTTTCTTATTTAAACATTAGATTATTTGATCTTTTTATAATTCTGAAAAAAATATTCGGAACTTCGAAAAAAAAACTTTCATGAATCCAAAAATTGAAATTTTAAAAAGTTATGAATTTTTATCATCCAGAAAAAAAAACAAATATTTATAATTACAATGCAGAAACTCGGGGCGTAACAAAATGAACCTAACATTTTTCCTAAACTATAAAATATCGCAAAATATTGCATGTAAACATATCACGCGAGCCTTTCAAAAAGCAGAATTAAATTATCAAAACAAAGAAAAAAGAAAAAAAAAATAGTTTTTAAAGCATTTTTGCTTTTCCAAAATATTGATATCTAATCTTGGCCTGGACTTCACTATAATATAATGCTATTTAAACTTGAATGAATAAAAATATGTAGAATTACATATTACAATTGTAAATACGATTTTACTACACAATGCACATTTAAGCTGTACCGAAGGAAATAAAATGTTTATAAAATTGAAGATGTCAATTTATCGTAAGTGAATGACTTCTTAATCTTTCAAGCGTAGCTCTGAATTTAGTTTGCATTATGTTGGTCACCCTGTATCTATTATGTTGGTAACCCTGTATATATTTTGTTGGTACCCCTGCATGTATTATGTTGGTAACCCTGTATGTATTATGTTGGTAACCCTGTATGTATTATGTTAGTAACCCTGTATGTATTATGTTGGTTACCCTGTATATATTTTGTTGGTTACCCGGTATTATGTTAGTTACCCTGTAAATATTATGATTATTACCCTGTATGTATACGTTGGTTACCCTGTAAATATTATGATTATTACCCCGTATGTATGTGTTGGTTACTCCGTAAATATTATGATTATTACCCTGTATATATATGTTGGTTACCCTGTAAATATTATGATTAATACCCTGAATGTTTATGTTGGTTACCCTGTAAATATTATGATTATCACCCTGTATGTATATGTTGGTTACCCTGTAAATATTATGATTATTACCCTGAATGTTTATGTATATTTATTATGTTTTGTTACCAGCTGTATGTACTTTAGTGTATAATCTACAGTTCAAAGAACTATATCTGATGAGAGCTGCCTATGAAGGAAACCTGTATTTCAAGAAACCCAAGTTTTATCTTCTTCTTTTAATTAGAATTCAAACATTAGAATTTAGGAGGAAAATCCAATCAATATTTGTCATGCTTTATAAGTTTATAAATATTTTAATTAAATATCAAAAACCCAGTTTTTGGTAGGTTTCCGCGCTTTCCGTGAGTATTGTCCTTTTAGAATGTTCAAATTTGGCATAAAGTCTATTCAAATGTTTACTTTAAACCTATGGTGGGCGGTTCGCTGTACAAAAATTTCATGTACAATGTACACGTGCACAAGAACGGTGAACGGTATTTCACTGGACTATTAAAAAGCTTAACTTGCATCTAACAATCATCTTCCTACTCTACAGTTTTATACTCCCCAAGTTATTAAAGATAGAATTAAATTTTATTTTAGATATGAGGATAGTTACTAGTGCTGTGTTGCTGCTCATGGGATGTGGGGTCAACCTATCCAGGTACAGTTCTCAAGTCAACTTCAGTTCTAACATTTTTATAGCTTTCCGAGATCCTTGCTTGCCGGTTCGATTACTGCCAAAAATATCAAGCTAAAAGATTTTTACAATTTATTGTTTTAATTAAAATTGAAAATAGCTGAGTAATATTTTGTTCGATTCACAATCGCGTTTTATGTTTTCTGAACTGCTGTGATATAATCAAATAGGCTGTAAAGGACTTTATACTTAATTTCAGATGATTCTTCATTTATTTAGAGTTCATGTCTGATTCATTATGGTACCTTTAAAACCTAATTGTCTAATCTTTGACCACGGAGAACTCCTAAACTTTTTAGCTTGAAACGATGTTCAAAGTTTGCATGGAAACTGATATGCAATAACAGCTGACTTTACACATTTCGAGAAAATCCCGCAAATTCCAAAGCAGTTTTTGAAAATTTGAAAATTGCGGTATATTCCTAGAGAACGATTTTTGGACCCCCCCCCCCCTCCTATCAATTTTGTACATGGATCTTAAATAACATGAATCTTAAATGTAAGACATGTGGCCGCAGTGCTCGGCCTCCTAGCCTGTCCTAGCCGCAGCGCTCGGCCCAGAAAGTGTCTTAACTAACCTAACCCGTGGCCGCAGCGCTCGGCCCCCTAGCACATCCTAGCCGCAGCGCTCGGCCCAGAAAGTGTCTTAACCTAACCTAGTCCCTAAATAATGCTAAATAAAAACTAATTTGGTCATGTACAAAATTAATAAGAAGGGGTGGGCTCGGGGAGAGGGGGTCCAAAAATCGTTCACTAGGACAGACCCGAAATTGCAATTGAAAAAAAGTATAATAGAATTCCTTTTTCTAAAATATGAAACAGGTTTTTAAAAAAAATTGACAATCACAAACGTTTCTGCAAATATAAAAAAGGATATCTCCGTCATAGATCAGACTTGCCACTCTAAACTTGGAGGATTATTTGAAATTACATCTACACAGTACACTCTACACCCTGGATAAAACAGTACACTCTATACAACCTTTAAAGAAAGAGAGCCGGCCCCCGAAATATAATGTTCACAAAAACCATCTTTCTGTCTTTTATCCGAAGAAACTATTCATGTTTCTTGGATTAAGTCTATAAATAAACTGAGATTTGGATCTCTAGAATAAGAAAATAATCTTTGTTAATTAAATTCATATTTGACATCAGAAAGAACATGCTGAACGTAATATATCTGATATTATAATATTTCTATAAATTGATTATTTCATAAACAATGTATATATATATCTTTTAGAATTTACAATGTACACTCATTCAATATCGGGTGTTGGGATCTTCCTCAATAACTATTTCAATGTGACATTTTTAATCGTACATGTTCTTAACGACAATAGGCAGTTCTAGATCTATGTATATATAAATTAGTAATCTCTGTTTGTTTTGCTCAGATGTACAATCATAACTCGTGAACCCTGAAACTGATCTGTATTAAATCAGCAATCTCATTTTTTTTCAATGAGTTGGCCTTGAAAAATTGGGCTATGTACATGCATTTCAACCGGAGAAAGATTGTAGAGATAGATATGGCACTGTGTGCTAAGAGGGAGGAATGATGGACCTTCAAAGGAACTAAATATTACTATATCTAGAGTGGTAGAGATAGATATGACACTGTGTGCTAAGAGGGAGGAATGATGGACCTTCAATGGAACTAAATATTACTATATCTAGAGGGGTAGAGATAGATATGGCACTGTGTGCTAAGAGGGAGGAATGATGGACCTTCAAAGGAACTAAATACTACTATATCTAGAGGGGTAGAGATAGATATGACACTGTGTGCTAAGAGGGAGGAATGATGGACCTTCAAAGGAACTAAATATTTCTATATCTAGAGGGGTAGAGATAGACATGGCACTGTGTGCTAAGAGGGAGACATAATGGACCTTCAATGGAACTAAATATTACTATATCTAGAGGGGTAGAGATAGATATGGCACTGTGTGCTAAGAGGGAGACATGATGGACCTTCAAAGGAACTAATTATTACTATATATAGAGGGGTAGAGATAGATATGGCACTGTGTGCTAAGAGGGAGACATAATGGACCTTCAATGGAACTAAATATTACTATATCTAGAGGGGTAGAGATATATATGGCACTGTGTGCTAAGAGGGAGACATAATCGACCTTCAAAGGAACTAAATATTACTATATCTAGAGGGGTAGAGATAGATATGGCACTGTGTGCTAAGAGGGAAGCACACTGGACCTTCAAAGGAACTAAATATTACTACTCAGGGTTTACTAATGATCTTGACGATGAGGTGATTTTTTAACACAAAGAAATTACGTTTTTGTCAGAAGCTCAAATTTTTAATCATTGTAATCTGAAAGTGTAAACCTTTGATATTTCAAACAAAAGTTATTTGATCTAACATAATTTAAAGTTTTAAATATCTAAGACCTCCGACATTGGGTTGCAACAAATATACGGATTAGAAAATCAAAGTTTGTGTCAAAGAATAAATTATTTTTCCCTTAACAACCTTAGACCAAAAGATCTGATTAATTTACTGATACTCTAATGTGAATCCTTACAACTAACTTTGCAAGAAGCTGTCATAGACCTTTGATATTTTAAGTTATGTAATATGTATATATATATATATATATACATATTACATAATATATATTATATATAGTTAAACAAATTTTTATCGAAGGTTTATTTCTAAAACTGCAGATGCACGATAAACGGGAAGAAAATTTGAATTTCATGTCTAGTTATCAAATCCTTTACATTAAAATACAGAAAAATGCAAAATATTATAAATTAGGATATTTCTTATAATATTAATTAATAATTTGTCTTTTTCATGCAAATCGTAAAATTTCAAATAAAATTTTTTTCACTTCTAGTTTTTCTAGTTTTAAATTTGTGTTGCAAAATATTGCACTTGTATTTTATTTATAGTTAATTTTTTTTTATTTTGTTGAGTAAAAAAAGAGCAATTATTTTCAGCCCAAAAGCTTGCTTCAACCTGACGGAGTGAAGGATAGTAATTATACTGGAGTAATCAGAGATTTTGGAGAAGCTGTCAAACATTGCAGGTAAGACCGCTGAACATTTATCTATTTATATTCCTTTAACCCTTAACAGGCTGGGAGGGTGGGGGGCGTTCGGCACCCCCCATGTAGTTTTTTTTTGTTCTAGCACTCTCATTTTTAACACTATCATCAAAAATGTCGTGAATTTTAATACAGAATTTAAAGGATTTTTGTTAAAAAAATATTTTTTAATTTATAATTTATTTAAGCATTAACTGTAGATTCAGGCAATGGCCGAACATTTGTTTGAGTGGAGTCATTCAAAAAAGTTTTTGTTTTTCGTCTTTTAAATTAAACTTTTTCAGTTTAAGATGCATGGCCTTGGTATCATTAGAGACAGAAGAAGAATGGGATTTTATCAGGTTTATATTGTTTAACAAACCAGAAACTTGAAGGGAAGGTTCGTCTATTTTATCAATTTAATAATGATAAACAAACCAGAAACTTAAAGGGAAGGTTCGTCTATTTTATCAAGTTTATAATGATAAACAAACCAGAAACTTAAAGGGAATGTTCGTCTATTTTATCAGGTTTATAATGTTTAACAAACCAGAAACTTAAAGGGAACGTTCGTCTATTTTATTAAGTTTATAATGATAAACAAACCAGAAACTTAAAGGGAAGGTTCGTCTATTTTATCAAGTTTATAATGTTTAACAAGCCAGAAACTTAAAGGGAAGGTTCGTCTATTTTATCAAGTTTATAATGATAAACAAACCAGAAACTTAAAGGGAAGGTTCGTCTATTTTATCAAATTTATAATGATAAACAAACCAGAGACTTAAAGGGAATGTTCGTCTATTTTATCAGGTTTATAATGATAAACAAACCAGAAACTTAAAGGGAATGTTCGTCTATTTTATCAGGTATATAATGTTTAACAAACCAGAAACTTAAAGGGAACGTTCGTCTATTTTATTAAGTTTATAATGATAAACAAACCAAAAACTTAAAGGGAAGGTTCGTCTATTTTAAAATATACATACTACTCAGGTTTTTTTTCGAAATTGAATACAATTTTGCATATTTTTACCGCTAAAAGTTCTAAAAGTTCGACGTATCTTTAACTGGCATGATGTGCTGTTTTGTGTTACTTTTTTTAAATTAATTATTTTAAATATATCTTACTAGCCTTAGAGGGCGCTTCGCGCCCATCTTCTAAATTAATTGTGAACATGTTCTCTTTGTGTACATCGTAAAACAAAACAAAAATAATTCGCGGATTTTCACAAAAAATTTCGTGAATTTTCAAAATTTTCAAAAATTTATTGAAGATCGAATTTTTATAGGGACAAATATTTGAAATTTTGATCATTCATAAACCTTCCCTGGGGTCCCTAGATGTCCCACAAAAAATTGGGCCCGATCGGTTCAGCCGTTTTGACGTTTATTGGATACAAACAAAAAAACAGACACCCAAACAGACACGCCAAATTTATATATAGATTTAGTTATAACTTAACGTTCATTTAAAAATACCTTCTATTAAGTTTAACAGAATAAAAGTTAGATAGAGCAATGCAATTTCACACACTATGAAATTGAGATTTGGAAAGCATATTTGTATATTACGCTGAGGTAAAACAATTATTGCACTGCTGGTTTTAAACCCTACACGGTGGTGAGAAAATTCAAAATGCTTATATTATTACGATTCATTTAATCAAAATTAATAAAAAAATTGCAATCTGCTCTTTTACTTGGAATTGCAATTAGCAGAGAAAATTGGACCAAAGACAAAGGAATTGAGTCTTCGCCACAAACTCTGATTTTCTTATCCCTATATCTTTTCAACGTCGTAAATCGTAAAATTCTGTTTGATCAAATAATCAAAGTTTAAAAATCAAAGTTTTACGCCACCAGGTTGCAAAGATATGAGGATAAGAAAATTAGATTTTGTGGCAAAAACTCAATTCCTTAGAAAATGAGAAGAAAAACATTTCAATTTTTTTTATGAAAATATGTTTAGAGAAAAGATGGAGGAAGTGAACACTCCATTTATCTGGACAAGCGGACACAAATGTGATAAAACTGTCAGCAAAGAGTAAATTTTAAAATAATTTTTAGAAATTTCTTAAACTTAAATTCTCATTTTAATTTTGTGGCAAATAAGATTTTTATTGATAATTGTCATTAATAAAAATAGTTCCTTGGTTAATAGAGTGAACGGTATCTCCCCTCACTTTTTCGTAAAAAATCATATTGAGACATTTTTGTTTACTCTCCGAGAATGTATACATATTTTTGACGTAGATTCCTACAGTAAAAAACATTTAGAAAGTGGTTGGGATATGATTGATTTAGATACTATGGTGAGCATATATATCAATACAACATTGCTTTCTTAAAAGGTGATATTATCTATCGATATAATAAAACAAAACATTCGTATATATGTCACCAATAGCCCGCCAAACGGCTGGACCCATTGGGCTGACATTTTTTGTAGACACTCATGGGTAGCCGGGGGGTTTCTTAGGCTAAAATGTTTTTGTTTTTCATATTTTTTTTTGTTTTAATTTTTAACGCCGGATACTTCAACTAGTTATATAATAAAGTATCTGGTACTAACATGCTATGTCGGTCGGTGTAATAATCAGTAATAAAATTGTATTTTATCACCATTTCAGTAATCGACGTATTGATATACATGCTGACCACTGTACATGAAAAAACTTTGTTGTATTGAATTTGATTCTTTTATCTTTACAAATAAAGATTTACATAAAATGAGCTAACCGTCCCTTTAATTCTAGATGCTTCACAACCCCATCTATCCAACCTCGGATCGTGAATAGCTGGTTTTGGTCAGGATCAGGTGCAAGGTACACAATTAATAAATAAAGAGAATAAATAAACATTTGTGATATGTGATCTCTGTTTGTCTGTTTATATGTCGGATCATAACTCATGAACCCAAGGAATAAGTTGCCTCAAATTTGGATTGGGAATCTTGAGAAAACCACAGAAATGTTCTCAGCTTTGAATGTTTTGAGATTCTAAGTTGATTGGGTCGAAAAATAGCTAAAATCGTAATTTAAGAGTAATTCCTGGGCAATGCTAGGTTCCCAAGCTAGTATTTGACATTATGAGACCCAGTAGACTGTTGAAGAAAAAACAACTTTATCAATCTATTTTCAATCAATCAATTAATCGGTCAATAATAATGGGTTCCACAATAAAGTTAAAAATTGAAAAACCCGTAAAAAAAGGCTTTGAAATATTTGATGGACTGTATTTGATGTTGCATTAGAGCAAATAGTTTTATCAACAGCTTGAAAATCAACTCTTTAAGAGAACTACTTTACAACTGCTGTTTTCATGGTCATTTAATTTTAAGTCACAAATCGAGTCCAACAGTCTTCTTCCTAATCCACAGTAATGTAAAAAAAAGTTTTTATATGCAAAACATGTATTACAGAAATTTTTATAAATTTATTTTGTTTCTTCAGAATTCCGCCGACCAACAGTACACCAGAGGGTTGGACTAAAAATCCCTGGGGTTCTACAGGTGATTCGTTTTTTAAATAATTTTTCCTCTTACAATCCCTCCATTCATATTAAGTAATATGTGTTGACTTCTGTCGGTTCCCTTGTGTCCAGACTAGGGTTTCCAATCGGAATTCCGTTGCACGGGAATGTGCGGAATTACAGCGCTCTCAATTGCCTTGGCTCTCGATCCACGATTATTTTATTTCACAATTCTGAACCAACAACAGTTTTACTTTACTAGGCTGTGTGTTGACAATTTAGACTTGAATTTTTAGTCTTGTAGTTTTTGTTTAAGAATTTTTTCCTTCACTGGAAACGCTTGTGCTTTTTAAGTTTGAACCTGCTGGAGCAAGCTGCATACAGTACATATACTGAGTACTGACAATATTAGGCAAAACAGTACGCCGAATGAACAATCCCCATAGAGTAATAAAACGAAGAAGTGAAGCTCAGCTAAGATGTACACAACCAACCTCCCTATTAATTTATTAATAGAGTGGTCGGTTGTGTACATCATAATATGTTTACGTATCTAACACTTGTATATAGAGTGATCGTATTTTTAAGGGGTGGTTTTATGTAGATATTTGAATATTAGTATTAATAATTAGGTAGACACTTAATATGGATTTAAATAAAGAAAGAAAATCGAAAAATTGGTCAATTCCATAAAAGCTCCCTTAGAAATACGATCACTCTATACGCAACTGTACAGTGTTAGTACTGTACACAACCGACCGCTCTATTAATTAATTGATAGGGACTAGGGAGGTTGGTTGAGTACATCTGAGCTAAGCTTCACCTCTTCGTTTTATTACTCTAATGAAATTTATGTGGTTTTGACACATAAATGTGCTACTTTGCAGGCCAATAATGTTAGGTTTTTACTTGACAATACTATTTACTATTATTAGGTATATTCACCAAGGTGAACCAGCAGACTGACCCATCTGCTCCTCCAGTTCCTCAACCAGATAATGCAGAGGAGGAACTAAATCTTCTAAAAAGCCAGGTATCTATTTATACATATTGAAAGTTTGTTTGTTTTGTGTGCATGTCCGATTATACCTACAGAACCCCTGGATCTATTAGAAAAACATTTTGATTAGGGAACTCGCTATAGCTACGGGAATGTACTTTGCTTAGTTTTAAAATTCTAAGTTGAGTGGGTTATCTTATAACAGAGAAAACTCCAGGCAGTACTGGGTTTCCAAGTTAGTATCTATATATAATATAAGTAGTAATCTCCGTTTCTTTGTCTGTTTGTGTGTCCGATCATAACTCATCAACTCCTTGAACGATTTGCCTTAAATTTGGTCTCGGGAATCTTAGTAGAACTATGGGAATGTTTTGGCTTGGTCTTAAAAATTCTTAGTTGACTTATACAGTGAAAGTTAAATTTTTAGGCAAAGCAGGGATTCCAAGTTTATCAATTTGGAGTATGTTTTTGTAAAGGGACTGAGTAAAATCCAAATAATCTTCGAAATAAAAGAAGTTTGAACCAAAATAAAACGTTGACAACCTCTTAACTTTAATATAAACAATATTATATTTCTTGTAAAAAAAGATCTGTTTTTGATTTATAATTTTCCTTTTTTCTGATTTTATTCATAGGTCGTCGTAGAAAACGTGAACCCTTTCTTTAATTTAATGTTTTCAGGAGGAGAGCTGTCTAGCCCTGGCAACAGATCTCTGGGAACCTGGAACTGTTTGGAACGATATTGCCTGTTACCATGAGAAGGTAGGCGCAGGGGGGAGGCAGAAGAGGAAATGGGAGGGGGGGGGGGTAGAATAGAAAAAAGGATTTCGTGTGATTTTGCATTTTTAATTTACAAGCTAATCTGCTTTGTGTTTATCTAATACGCATCATTTGCAACAAAGCTTCATATTTTTATGCACTTTGTTTAAAAGATTTTTTTCTGAACAGTTTTGTAAACATTCTCTTTAATACTGGTGAAAACTAGTTAAAAATATATTCTTGGTTTAGAGTATAATAAAATGATTTAATTACAAGTAAAAAACCGAACCGTATACAAGCTGCATTTTATTATTTTACAATGAACAAAAAATATATTTGAAACTATATATATTGCTGTGAACCATGCAACACTTTACGAACGGAAAGATAAAGGTTTCAATATAAACCCTTTTCTGATTTTTTTTGAAACACCGACCGCCGTTTGACTGTCCTCAACCCTACCCTGTAAATAAATAAAAAAAGATTTTAGCAACATTTGTCCACTGCTATATAAAGTTGAATATGTCAAGAAGTTTTAGTGTATAATGTTCTAATGTCAGCAGTTTTAAGCATAGAGAATAGAATATATATTAAAGGGGAATTTACTAGAAAAAAGTGTCAAACGGCCATTTGTTGTACTGTTTCCATACTGCAGGTGTACTTCACATATTTATGCTATATAACCTTTTGGGCCCTGGAATATCATTTTATAGAAAATCTAAAATTATTGTTAAGAGAAAACCAAATTATGAAATAGGCTGGTTTCATAATTGACCAATGATCATTTTACACAGACTCTATGCCTTCCACTTTACAAACGATGATTTTCCGTTATAACTATAAATCAAATGATATTTTTAATTCATCTAATTCATTATAAAGTTTATTTAACAGCTTTAAAAATTTCGAAATTGAAATGAATAGTCTAGGGAACATACTGTATTAATGTACTCTACTGCACATAATTTGTGAACATTTACATGATTTTTACACTTTGAACTCCCGTTTCAGGCTGAAAGGGACTGAAAAAATTCATACCGAGAGATTCTTTAAATTCCTCTCTAAAATAGGTTCTATTCTCTATGGTTTTTAATTATTTAGAAAAACTATAGGTTTAAATTTTATATAGGGAATGTCTTTTTTTTCGTGGTCATACTCGTAACGTAAAGGATCTGAAAAAATGCATTCTTGGAAGAAATCATCATCATTGGGGTTCTATCGGAGACCCCCTTTTATAATTAACGGATTATCTGATGATAATCTGAGGGTCTCCAATGATAATCATGGGATCTAATAATGAAAATTTTTGTGTCTGATCAACGAAAATCTCCCATGAGAAGCTTGGGGTCTCCAATGAAAATCTAGGATTCTCCGATGAAAGAGGGTCTCCGATAGTGCTCACATAATGATGATTTCTTCCATAACCCGAAACTATGTTGTTGTTCTTTCTTTAGAATGACGACTAAGAATTTACATTTTACTATCTTGAAAATCATGATACCTATATTTAACAAAAGAAGACAATCTAATTACATATACATTGCTTGTCTGTATGTTTGCATACAAAAAACGTCAAAACGACTGAACCGGGCCCAAATTTTTTGTGGGACTTAACACATCCCCAGAGAAGGCTTCTGGATGATTGAATTTTCAAAAATTTGCCTCTAACAAAATTAGATTTTTGAACGATTTTTTTTTATAAAATTTTAAAATTAATATTATTTTGTTTCAGGCCTGGATTTGTGAAGACAGTCCTGATCTTTTAGCTCAAGCTGGGATCAGTCTATAATAGTGAAATACAAAAACAAAAGAGAATTAATTTTTCGGAAATAAATTTTAATATAATCAATAATATTTTACAAAATGCTAATAATCTATTTGCATCAACATAAATAAATATAATAATCTAAAGAAACTGATCAAGATAGCATTTTAACAGTAATATATTTTTCTAATCTTATCTTTATCTTTGCAACAAAATAGTGTGAACTTTAAATATTAGATCTCAAATTATTCATGGTTAGAAATATGAAAGGTCAATGACATCACTCATCAGGTTGAAAACATATAGGGATTAAAAAATTAGAGTTGGTTGCGATTAGTCAGTTTTTATGTTCAAACATGTCTCCGTCAAATTTCAGAACACAAAGCAGAGACTTCAGTTTGGAAATCTCATAAACATTGCCATCGTTAAATATGTAAGAGTTGAAAATATTTTACAAAAGGGTACTTGAAGAGAACTTCATCTTCACTTACAGTTAAACAGCTTCTAGCACCTACTCGAGTCTAATACAAATACGGTTTATAGTGACGTTTACCCGCAAAGGATGAAACTTCAAAGACGACAGTACAAGATTTTATCCGTCCTTTTATCTGACATCTTTTTTAATCTCTTTACTAAGAACTTGTGAAATTATTCAAATTTTTGATACTTCAACGTCAAATAATTAGACTAACCCCCCGCCCCCCCTCCCCGCCATTTGGACTAAAATTGAGCAGGAGATTTCAAGTTTAAGTTCCTTATCAAAATTTCATCCTATGTGGGTTAACTCGTCGTGTACAGTAATAACAAGAAAACTGTGGAATAGGAAGACGACTTTTAGACTAAATTAAGTTTTGATTTCAATGAATAATAAACACAGCAATGGCGCACTGTGCACAAACTATTTCACTCAAAGGTAGATTTTAAAGCTTCTACTGAAATTGTTTGCCTTTTAACAACACCGAGTACAGTTAAATATTGCCTGCAGGTCGTCTTCCCATTTATCATTGCATTGACAATTTTGCTCAGAATTTCAAGATCTAGTAAGCTTCGCGTTTCATTTGTTTGTGTTTTACATATTTTCTGAGTTGAGCTCCAGACTCATAGAATAGATAGATCACGGGTTTCCCTGTACACACCAGTACCCGGAGCAGTGGTAGAACCCTAAGAAAAAGAATCATAAAAATTTGAAAAATTTTATAATTCCACCTTAATTTCTTCATTGTTTTTGCAGAGAAACTACAAATAAAACTATACAATTTTAGGAACAAAATATGGATATCTAATTAATTCTTAATCAGACAGACAACGCTTTTAATGGCATTTTTTAAATCGACATCCCTCGCCTTTCAACAGAAGTTCACTTTAAATTACAGATTTTACAGACATAGCTTTAATTTCTTTATAATAAAACCAGACATTCGTATATATATTCACTATAGCCGGCCGAACCAAATGGGCTGATTTTTTTCAAGGAAACCACGGTCAACCCTGGGGGTAGCATTGACTAAAAAATCTAAATTTTGTATTTTTAAAAAATCGAAATAAAACAAATAAAAATTTTAATTTCACGGGCAATGCCGAGCCTTCAGCTAGCTTGTATATAAATTCCCATCCAACAGTGAGACCCATAACTTTCTAGAAAAGGAAGAAAATTGCCCGACTTAAAATAATCAAATTAACATAAAACACAGTAATCGTGTAGCGTGCAAGCAAACCCATATTATTTGATAAGTAGGATTTAGAGCAACTTGTAAACTATTTGCTTTATTACAACATCAACTTTATATTTCATATTTTATTCAACTACAAAGCACGAGATAATACAAATAAAAAAATCACAATTTACTATGTAGTTTGGACCCGCCTAACCAGAGTAGGAATCATGAATATCATAACTTTCTGTTTCGTTCATTATATATATAGATCTTGGCGACTTTTCTTTTAAACTATTTTTCAGATTTAGTTTCTTTAAGCTCTAATACAATCGAATTCCATATTTTTTAAATAAGGCAGAGATTCTAGGGTTTTAAAGAGAACTCGTTCAAGTTTATATGATTTTGTTCTATTTGGTTCAGCTAAAGAATTAAACATATCCTGGAAGGAAGCTGGAAGGTTTTCATAAAAGTATTTATGCATAAAAGATTGAACACCTAGTTTATATGTATCATCAAGATTTAGGAGTTCTAATCTGAAAAACTGTGCATACATATTCTATTCAACAGTTTATAAATCCTAATGTAGTTAATTGTCTTATCTGGAGTGATAGACAATCACTTGTTTTGCTTAAACATTATGGTTTTAGAATTTTTAAAGGTTTTACAAAAATCAGAGAAGCTTTACAAATTTTAAAATTGTTAATACCAAACATTTCCTTTCCTTGCATTTTGCCAAATTTTAGCCCAGGGAGGCTATAGGAGATGATCTATAGCAAACAAAACTATCGTCTTTTTGTTATATTTTTCTTTGCTAACTTAATTTGCTTACTTCGATAGAAGCAAACGTTTAAAGGGAACATTTTCTAAATGTTGAAGAAACCTTGAATACAGAAATTTTTAAGATCCCCGTCTAAAAAGTCCAAAACTTTAAAAGTCGTAAAAAACTCCCCTGGTTTTTCCCGTCATTGTTTGTATGCATACCTGAGAAGGTTCTGATGAGGAATCTCCTTGAGTATGATGAGAAGGTAGAAGGAGAGCTCCGGTAGGTTCAGCACCAGGAAGAGAAGAGAAAGAGCAAGAGGTACCGGATCAGAACTTCGTCTGAGCCGTTGATTCACAGTTTTCCGCCAGTAAGCGGACAGTCCGATAATAATCAAAATCCAGACAGGAGTTATCTAAATAAAGTTTTTTTTAATTGTTTAATTTAGAATAATAACAGTCCTGAAATTAACCCTATCTCTTTTGGGGTACTTGAAAGCCAGGATATGCTGGGGGCGGGTATATTTGCCCCCCCCCTCTAAATCCCATGTTTGATGTCCAAATATGACAAATGATACATCATTGGAAAGCTCTTGTGCTCTACTTTTAGAATCTGCAAAAAATTTGCAAATTTGCAAAAATTGAATTTTTTATCGCAAAATCCAGTTATGTAGTAAAAATGTGTTCAAAAAAAAATTTGTTCAAAAAATGAAAAATTATACATTTTTGAAAAGCCCTTGACCATGCCATTTCAAATATGCAAAAAATTTTGCAATCTTTAAAATAACCTGAATTTTAATCAAGAAAAACTAAAAATGTGCAAATTTCTTTTGACAGGATGTTTGCAAAAAATTTGCAATTTATTTTCGCGAAACTTGTGCAATTCGTTTCCTTATGTCAAAGGCTTTCCAAAAAGCTAAATTTCATTATAATCTGACAAGTGAAAGTGGGTCAAAACAAATATTTAGTTTGTTACAGGAAAAAACAGTCATTCAGGCAGTGTGCCTGAGGACTCAGGCAGTTAGTATTAAAGCCCGGTTTTAGGCCTAAAGGGAGGGCTTTGGGTATGTAGGAAAAGTCAGAAAATTTCAACAGCCTCAGACCCATACTTTTTGAGTTATGTAAAAAAACTACAGGGGGGGGGTCAAATTGACCCCCCCCCAGCAGGAATAGGGTTAAGTGATATATTTATTTTATTAATCCACGCTTTCAATGAGCACAATAGGGATTTTAAAATGTCGTTTTTAAATTTTTGTTTTAAAATTACGGAGATAATACAAACTTAAGCTCAGATTTTATCAAATTAACTAAAATCTTGTTAAAAATCAATTATTTCTTTCAAAAGATAAAAAAAGTCAGACACCACATTTTGTTACGAAGACGTAAACATTCAATTGTCATTTCTTATGAAAAGAGCATTATTTTTTATATCCTATATTCAGTTCAACCTACAGGGTGTCCACGAAACATAACAGTTGGTGAAAACTTTAAAAAGTCTTCTTCCATAATTTGTTAGATATCAAAGAGAATATAAAATATTTTATATTATTGCAAAATTGATTTTAAAATAAAATATATTAGAGTAAAAGATGTGTATAACGAAATGAACTGCAAAAAGTATTTAATATCAAATACAGTCATGGAAGATGACATTCAAAACTATTCATCAACTGTCATGTTTTGCGGGACACCCTGTATAATCCACATGGTACAAGTTTTTTTCCAGTGCACACATTTTGAACAAAAAAACGAAAATGTTGACTTGAAACCTGCAGAACAAGAAATCTAAAGAGCAGGAAAATGTTTTCTATGTTTGTATCATGGCTGAACTGTGTTGAGCGGACGACGACATTCATTTCGACTTGAAATTTGACTTCCTCCAGTTCCGTGATTTTGAGATATTCTCTTATTTCTGCGCCTGTCAGCTCCTTAAAAAATAAAATAATTTTTGGAATAACAGAGGTTGCATTTCAATAAGAAGTAATCTTTGATTGAGAATGAATCTGTGATTATACGAATTGATTTTGCATCTATTTAAAGATGGATCTGTGATTGCAGATTCATCTACAGGGTGTCCCAAAAAACATGGGAATTCAGTGACGAATTCGATATCGTCTTTGTTATAAATTAGCATTGTAATACCTAATTTCAAAAGCCATAATATTATTATGTCTGCTAGAGTTTATTTTATGAGAAGGGTATAAAAAGACTGCAAAGTTTACTCTATTTGTATACTGCAATTTTCTTGTTTCACTTAGTACAACCGTATGCAGTCAAAACATAAACAAACAAAATGTGAACAAAGCAGACGAAACTCTTACAGATTACAGCTTTCTCAGTAGGTATCAATATACTAAATCAAAGAATTATTTATAAAGACGATATCGAATTCGTCACTGAATTCCCATGTTTATTGGGACACCCTGTATGATAAAAGTGTGAATCTGAAGAATGTACAGTACACCGAAACATGATAGTGGCAAGACGATTTGAAGGTCATCGATATAGTTTACGGCATTCTAAAATTTAACAGTAAATTCTTGAGAATTATTAGTCCAAAAAAACCCCTAGTCCTGGGATTTCAAAATGTATTCTGCCTTTTTCGTGCTTTCGATGGCCGGAGTTATTAAGAATTTTATTCATATTTCGTCGATTTTGGCTTCATTTCATAAAAATAAAATCTGAACACAATTCTTAATACCTCCAGTAATGATGACAGCACAAATAAGGCAGATCACATTTTCGAAATCCCAGGACCACGAGAATTTTGTGGTTATTGTTCCAAGAACTTACACGTGAAAGAAGATTGACGACTGAATGTCTGAAATAAATTCAAAGACGGTTTTCAACTCGTCTTGCTACGGTTATGTTTCGTGGGACACCCTGTATGATAAAGAATGATAGGATTAATCTACCTGTGTTTCATAAGTAAAGATATCAGGAATAAATATGAGAAGTGAGAGGAATAATGAATATATAACAGGTCGGATATATCCATAATCAGCGTGCTCCATCTGAAAACAAGATTAAAGATGTCTGCGTTCACTTCAATATTCACTTCAATACCAAGATTAAATGGATTGCCTGAGTTATTCAAAGTATTTTCATTCATTTCAAAACCAGATAAAAAAGATTTTCGAGTTTTTAAAAGGGAACGTTAACTTCAAACCCCAGTTTAAAGAGATTGTACGTCCAAGTTATTGAAAGAGTTTATTCACTTAAAAATCAGATTTAAGAGAATATCTGCGTTATTTATATAGTTTATTCACTTCAAGATCAGATTAAAGAGAATATCTGCGTTATTTATATAGTTTATGTACTTCAAAATCAGATTAAAGAGAATGTCTGCGTTATTTATAGAGTTTATTCACTTCAAAATCAGATTTAAGAGAATGTCTGCGTTATTTATATAGTTTATTCACTTCAAAATCAGATTAAAGAGAATATCTGCGTTATTTATAGAGTTTATTCACTTCAAAATCAGATTAAAGAGTATATCTGCGTTATTTATCTAGTTTCTTTACTTCAAAATCAGATTAAAGAGATTGTCTGCGTTTTTAAAGTACACATAAACTTTTAAAACTAGATTAAATATATTTTCTGCGTCATTTAAAGTAAACAATCACATTAAAAACAATCAAGATTAAAGGAATTTCTTCGCTTTTGAAAGCGAACATTTACTTCGAAAACAAGATTAAGGAGATTGTCTACGCAATTTAACCCGATCCCGATTGGGCTATTTTTCTCTAGTATAGATTTGGAGAGAGGGGGGGGGGGATTCGCCTCCTATAATTTAGCCTTTAGAGTTGAGATAAGTGTAATACATATTCCTAATTAAACTTTTAAGGTATGCTCATTAAAAAAAATAAGAACTCTAACTTAATATATAACGCTTAGCCCTGTAGCTTAATTAACGAAAAAGGTATTAACAATTTCTAATTTTTTTAAAACACCGACCCGTCGTTTGACCGTCCTCAATTCTATCCTATGCATCAAAAAAAATTTATTTGTTTACAACTTTTTTGTTGAAAAAGTGAAGTTTCTAATGTGTAAGCAATTTTTAAATTATTCAGAAGAAACCAAAGGGGGGGGGGTGGAGAACACCCCCCCCCCCATCGTGATAGGTTTAAAGTAGACATTTACGTCTAAAACCGGATTAAAGAGACTGTATGCGTTATTTAAAGTAAACATTTACTTCAAGAGTGCTTTCAATTATTCCAAATACTGCCTTTTTTAATGAAATCCTTTTTTAAAAAATTTGTCTGATACAAAAAATAATAATAATTATAAAATAATTATAATAATTATATTTTTGCAATGAACACAAATAGGTAACAAAAAAAAACAATTTATAAATTAATAAATTTACCATTCTGAGAAACCTGATGGATATGAATATGACCAGCAAATAGGTTGAAAACGTCTGCAAACCCTAGAGGAAAAATAATTAGCAAAATAAAATGGCAAAAATTTAAACGATTATAAATGCTTAATTATGCAAAACGACATTCACAAATGTTCAAGGTTACCCATAAAGGATGAGACTCTAATGAATACTTAAAAATGTTTAAATTTAGCGTTTTGTAGGCGAAATTATGTGAATTATGTGATATATTTGACAAACAAACAAAACAGATTTTGGGAACAGGAACCAAGAATTCTGAGTAAATTCTGTCCTGCAGTTTAGGGAACCGGAACCAAGAATTCAGAGTAAATTCTGTCCTGCAGTTTAGGGAACCGGTACCAAGAATTCAGAGAAAATTCTGTCCTGCAGTTTAGGAAACCGGAACCAAGAATTCAGAGTAAATTCTGTACTGTGCAGTTTAGGGAACCGGAACCAAGAATTCTGAGTAAATTCTGTACTGCAGTTTAGGGAACCGAAACCAAGAATTCAGAGTAAATTCTGTACTACAGGTTAGGGAACCGGAACCAAGAATTCTGAGTAAATTCTGTGCTGCAGTTCAGGGAACCAGAACCAAGAATTCAGAGTAAATTATGTACTACAGTTTAAGGAACCGGAACCAAGAATTCTGAGTAAATTCTGTGCTGCAGTTTAGGGAACCGGAACCAAGAATTCAGAGTAAATTATGTACTGCAGTTTAAGGAAACGGAACCAAGAATTCTGAGTAAATTCTGTACGGCAGATGTCTTTGAAGTCTTATCCTTTGTGGTTATCCCTGTACTTCATAACTATAAAATACATACCTCCAGTAAGGGTTTGGTGTACACGCTGGCAGGTATGTACATATGCGGCGGTAGGTCAAGTCCTGGTGGTGTACAGTCCCAACAGTACAACAACAACAACAACATATCTGCAAAACAATTTAATAATGTAAATAATTCTCAAAGCAATTAATAAATATATGTGAAATTTGCCTCATTAGATTTTTCAGCGAAAGGCTTAAATGGAGTGTTCGCGAAAATGAAAGGTACGGTATAGGCTTACGGCAAAAAATAAGCGGTTTTGATCGCTACTAATCTTACTTCTATCTGTTGCTATAAGGAGAAAATTGTTAAAAACGACTGAAGAACGTAGCGTCCATATAAATGAAGAAAGGTACAACATTCAACTTGGATTGTAAACAAATCAATTTAATTCCAGACAAATCATTCAGATTTATTAGTCATTTTTCGCGAACACTCCCTTTAACAAAACTATGATAAAAATGGGTACATGGTTCATTTCACTTCGTGAACATAATAAAATGTTATATATAAACATAGCTGCAAAGTATGTGTGTATGTCACAAAATATACAGTTAAACCCAAAATGCGCCATATATCAAAAGATTTTATCAAATCAAATCAAATCAAATCAAATCAAATCAAATCAAATCAAATCAAATATTATTTATTTACGCAGAAACATTGTTAAAAATCATTATTACAAGTGGTAGATTAATTGTCAACTGATTAATGTTCTGCGTCTGGAGAACTGCTATAGCTATAGCTGTTTTCATATCAGCTCCCCAGTTGCTCGATAATAAAAGAAAGAAAAAATATAGATACGGTATTGACGGTATAGTCTTGACAACTCTTAAATGGGTTTTATGATATTTTACGTAAATCTCGGTATTAATAGCCATAAATATATAAAAAATAAATAAAAAATAAAAAATAGCCATAAATATGCGGAAACAGTTTTAAAGAGCTCCATATAATTTTCATTTAAAAACTAAATATCGGCAACATTACATTATCAGAAAGTGAAGAATACGACATTTGATGAATTCTTTCGATGTATGGCTTATTTAGGGTTTAACTGAAATAGACGGAGCAGTGCAGTGTCAGAGGAAGCTGAGTTCTGCTATATCTTCAAATCTGTGAACTGCAGTGGGAGGAGATCAAAAACGCTCCAGGAGCAAGTAATCAGTGATTTGCGATGGTGAATGGATTATATCATTATCTGTGTTTGTTTTAATTGCTCCCAGAGAGCACAGTAAACAATATAGGCAGGGGACCAAATAGGCTTTGCAAGAAGGGTTGTGAACCCAACTAAGAAGAGGGCGGATATAGCCTTTAAATAAACAGTAAAAGTTTATAAAAAAAACCTGATACGGAGAGGATTCTGGGTAGAGTAAAGGGATAAGGTGGGTAGAACAGGATCCAGAAGTTTAAGAATAATCCCAATCCTATAGACTAACATTCTTAAAGTGCACTGCACAGGGTGTACCACTAAACGTGATAAGACGTCTTAAAATCTTTATCAGAGAAAATGTTGCAAGACCAAAATTTGAGAAGATTGTAAGTTGTGCGATTTTTCTGATACACATTTTGTATCATGATATGTGAGAATCATAACTGTGGAATAGGTAGACAAAATTTAGCCCAAAGTTATGACTAAGTTCAATGAACAAGAGAAACCGCAATTATGCAGTGCAAACAGACCCATTTAAGTTAAAAAGTTATTAAAAAAAGTTATATAGAAAAACCACTTGCTTTTTAAAATCATCAAATACATTAAATTATCGCCAATTAATGTCAGCGTTCTATTCCACACTTTTTTGGCTCTCACAATTTGCAATCACATATCGTAGACGATCTTTAAGTTGCCTCTGAATTGACATGTTTGGTAGAGAAAGTATCTTAGTTTGTGGATAACAATGTATAATGTTTATCATGTTTATCTATATAGTAAAGCTCTTCACTCATAAATATATATTAATATACATATATATGTTAGCTTTCGCTGGCCTAACGCCTGAACCAAATTAGCTGAAATTTTTTCGAATTTTCTTGAATACCACCCATGAAAAATTTGAGTTTATTAGTAATAATGAATATATTTTTAGGGGTAACCTGTAACGGAAGGTATACAAGCAACGTTAATCCACCAGCCAACCTGAAACAATTTTAAAGTTTATAATCTACAGTGAGAATCAGAAGGGCGACATTATAGAAATAATTAGGTGCATTAATCCTTTACTTAATTGTACACTGTACAGAGTGGAATGTCAGATTAAGATCGGTCCTCTCAAAGGTAACCGCCAAAAAAGTCCTTGTAAAAAAAGTTTCCGAAAACAGTCCTAAAATTTCACACTGAAAAAGTCCTGTGGAAAAAAGTCCTTTTACTATTAGGAAAAAAGACCTAGGAATCCAAATCACAAGACTTTATTTTCAGTGACATTTTTTCCAAGGATTTGAGAAAATTCGGACTTTTTTATTTCCAGGTTTTTTTCCCAGAAACTTTTTTTCCCGGGATTTTCCTACATAGATTCCCCTTCAAATGTTTAACATTAATTCTAATTCATTTTTCTTGACAGTAATGTTTAAGACCATAGGCCAAGTACAGGGTGATCCAAATAAATAGATATTTTTACATCGCTTTAACATTAAAATGATTATAAAGTACTGAACTGGAAGGAAGGGAGAGGACTTTAAAGGGGGGGGGGGGACATATTAAATACGTATATATCGAGTGGGGATAGGAAGTGATACGGCCAAGTAAGTATGTTTTAACAAGTCCAAACCTGTGTATTATTGTGTAAATGTGGATTAAGAAAAACATTGTTTAAATCTTGACTCACAAATGTCGTATTATCATGAATATCATAACTTTCTGTTTCGTTCATTTTAGATGAGTTCGATGTACACACTGACTTCTAAACCAAGCCAGGCAGGTATTTCGTCATATATACCTCACATTTTTGTGGGTGTACTAAATCAATAATACAAAAATAAATATATTTTTGGCAGTTTTCAGTTTTTAATCAATTTTGATCAGTTATATCCCTTAATTTCTGGTTTTTTCGTTCTTTTTGGGGTACAGTGAGAGCTACGAGACTGACATTGTATGAATAGATGATGCGTAAAATGTCCCATATGGTTTAAATCTTTATTTCTCGGCCCTCGGGGTCCTTGGATATTACGTGCGCGCATATTTTCTGTCTATAGAACATAGATAGTATAGTTTGGGAACCCAGCTTTGTCTAGAAGTTTGCTCTTCATAAATCAACCTAATCAACTTCAAACTTTTAAACCAAGCTAAAACATTTCCGTGGTATTACCAAGTTCCCAAATCAATCGGTCCGTGGGTTTCTAAGTTATGATCGGGCAAACAAACAAGCAAAACCAGATTACTACTTTATATTTGTTCATTTGCGCTATAACTGATTAGACGGCAAGACCAAATTAGCTGACATTTTTTCAGTTAAAATTATAATTTAAGATCAGGGGTGGACAAAGGGGGGGGGGCGGCAGGACCTTCGCACCCTCAGACGGATTCAGAGCCCCCTCCCTGAGATTTCAGAATAGCTTCTCAATAGCACTTAGGGGAAAGAAAACCTAGTACAAAACAGGAAAAATGTCTATCTTAAAAAAATGACGGCACGGTTTTTGTTCCTAAATCTGGATTTTTTTGTTCCAAAATAAATCTAGCACCTTCCTCACTTAAATCCTGTACCCGACCCTGTTAACAACCTGGATCAATCCATATATCTATTTTTTGAAACTTTCACTATTATGCCAGCATTGTGTACGATTTGATTTCGTAAAAATTTCAATTAGGTGTAGAGTTTCAATTATAAGTGTAATGTCTCAGATCAGTTGCAGAGGTGTGTTTGTTTATTATTTACAAGTTGTGATACAGTTTTTTTGATACAAGAAAAAAAAAATTTGATTTAGCTTTCGAGATATTTTATACAGTTCGACGTTAAGGTTTTTTAGTCCTTGCTTTAATAAATATGAATTATTGATATCACAGTAAGAATCAAACATGCATTTGAAATTAGTTTGCTCATTTAATAAAATAGTCATGTTCACTCACAAAGCATGAGACGACTGCACTGAGCTTATTATAGTCTTTTAAAACGTATTTTTGTTTCATTTCTCAACTGTAAAATTGTCCATCCCTTGCAAAAAAATGTTATAGATTACAAAAAGGCAAATTTTTGCAAGGAACAATTTCAACCTTCAGATTGTAGAAATCAAATATTTGGGTGGGTAATCGTGAACAGTGTACACTGTACATCATGTATAGATATTTTGCACTTCAAGAATACGTTGCTTAAGCTTGAGGAGGGAGGGGGCAATGGCATTAGAATGTTAACTGTAATGGTTGAAAATGTAGGGATTTTGAAATTGGGGGCAAACGATGCCGTCTCCCCTCCCTCATCCTTTTGTTTCTTGATCACTATTTAAAATTAAACTGATCAAGAATAGAAATATATAAGACGACATTTGACAAATTTGTTAATATTACTTGTTTAGGGTTAATTCTCTTCATTTTGACCATCCAGTTATTGCATATCTCAGGCTTTGAGCTTCAAGGTGACAATATTTTTACATGAATAGTGAAGCTTTATATAGATAATTCATCTAAACTAAATTAGTAGATTAAAACTCCAATCCTTAATAATTAACAGAACCATTTTATACCTTTAAACCAATCAAGGATAACGAACATTCGAATGTTAGAAAACAGCGATTTACATGCGTATACCATATCCATTTCTATAACATAAAATGTATAGGGTGCATTCCAGTTTTTTGACAATTTGAACGACATTTAAAGAAAAACACACGGATTTATCTACCCTTGAGTAACATGCAAAGGTTTACATGATACCGTGTAAATCCGGCCTTCCTGTCACTTGAAATTACGCTCATGTCATCATCTTTTTCATTTTGATATGAAACATCGATATTGATTTTGTAATTGGAAAATTTTTAAAAAGGGCAATAAAAATATACAAGCTGAAGTTTCCGGTGTTGCCCGTGGAATTTAAAACCGTAAGAACCATAAGACTGTGGAATAGAAAGACGGTATTAAAGCAATCTTTCAGCTCATTTGATGTAATACTTAAATACTTTATGATATTACTGTTGAATCTATTTTAGAATCTGGACCAACCCTTAGCCTTGTTAGGGTTAATAGTTCCTTCCGTTTATCCTGTAGGTAGGATTACAAGCTACTACGGAACTGATAATTCTATAAATTTTAATAAATTTTATAGTAAAAGTTTGAAATATCAACAGTTTATACTATGAGGTTTCTACGATAAAGGAATTAAAAAGTTAGAGTTTGTGGCAATGAAATTAGGTTATTATCAAATTTAAATTGATTACCGAAAATTGGACTGCACTTTTTTTTGCCTTATCTTTGTTAATATCTTTGTTTGTTTTCAAGGCACAAAGAGGGTCGCGCTATTCCAACTTTGACTTAATAAAGCCAGATAGGCCTTGTAAAAGTTTTTTATTTTACCCAGGAAAACTTCCTATGGAAATTTTAAAAGATTAATAATTTGATTTCTTATGTTTTCTTATTTTTCCTAATTTTTTCTATGCTTAGAGCTAATTCCTATTATGAGTGGTGTACGTTCTATCATACCGTAAGCAAGTAAGTAGCAACATTAAAATGAATAAAAAAACTTACTGAAATTTAGAATTTAAATTAACCAATTTTTTAAAAATAATTCAATATTAACATTTTAAAACTTTTTTTCAACTTTACTCCAAATTTTTTATTTTGTGCTTAACGATGTGAGTTTGAGTGGAAACGTAAACCTTGGAATGTGACAACTACAGATTGTAAGGACTTCGGGGACAGGATTAGTTTTCAGGTCAACAAATATTAGAAAATATAAAAACCAGACATTTTATATTACAGTTAATTTCTATATATTTGGACACTTTTAGAGAGACATCATTTAGATCGAAAATGTCTTGATAGGACACAATAAATCTGCGTTGATCAAAATGTTCTAAAATGCTTTTTGAAAATTTGTCTTGGAATATAATTTTGTTTTCTTTGTTTTAAAATGTCTTGTTGCAGATATGGAAATATAATCCGCATAGAATTAACAAAAAGAAAAATCATAAGAAGTCTAATACTATTTTTAAATTGTAAGTTGTAACTAGTCCTAATTCTGAAACTCAAAGTATATAATGTTTACTGGTTTTAAAGAATGATCTTCAAATATGAAATATTCTCTAGAGTGATTACAACATTTATATCTTCAGGGTGATTTGATTACATCTAATATTAAATACTCTCTAGAGTGATTACAACAATTATATCTTCAGGGTGATTACAACAAATTTGAAATATTCTCTACAATGATTACAACAATTGTAGCTTCAGGGTGATTACAACGAATATGAAATATTCTCTAGAGTGATTACAACAATTGTATATTTAGGGTGATTACAACAAGTTTGAATGTGCAATCAAGATTGAAACTTCAGTTCCCGAAGATACTGGTAATGTTTTGTTATTATTCCACTTGCAAAGAAAAGACAAATATCTAGTCTTTTAAACTATTGCTTATTTGGCAAGAACCGGAAGAACTTTTAATTTAATTTGAGAGAACTCTTCAGTATTCAGGGTGTAATAAAGGCTTAAAAATCGATCGAAATCGAAATTTCTTTTTTTCAAAATTCGGTTTTAAAAAAGATTCAAAGGGCAATATCGGGTAATATGTAAAATTATTTATACATATACAGGGTCAGTAAAAAAATGGGGAATAGAGAGATCTTGCACATTCATTTTTAAAAAATTTGTATGAAATTTTAGATTTTTTTCATGGGCTATCTTTTGTTTTTCTTTTCATCTAATTTTGAGTAAAAAATTGTTTCGCGGATTTTATTAAAGGGTATATTAGATTGCCTATCAGATTGTCAGAAATGACTAATGAGATTACCAAAAAAAGACTGTATTATTTTTAGGATCTCGATATTCACCATTTTTTGACTCACCCTGTATAAATATATGTATATGAATAAAATGTTTTAATAAGATTGTTGCGTTTCAACTGATATATATATATATTTAGGAGAATGGAGCTGTGTTCTAGAGAAATATGTTAGGTAAACAGTTTGATTGCAAAATGTAAATACTTGATTTTGCATTCCTGAAACTTTAATTTAATTTAACAAAATTTGGGCTTCACCACCCTGTCTTACTTTTAGTGTTAAACTTACCTTGGAATATTTTACATCGTACATTATTTTACTTAAGATCAAATTCGTTGTTCATTGTGGTTTTCTAAAAAGATTAATTTTTTGGGGGTTACGTTTTTTTTATCTGTAGTAGGGGACCCCAAAAATAATGAAAAAAACTTTTTCAATTTTAATATTTTTTTTACTGAAAAAATGTTTACTTTTTAGAGGTAAATCCAGAGGAGCAGGGGCAAAAGTTCAGGTTCTAATAAGAAAAAAACCCCGAATTAAAAAATTTTCATGTATACAATAGTAAACATTTAGTTTTTTTATTGGTTAAAATTATAACCTAATATATTTTAAAAAATTGAATTGATTTTAATTAAATTTCAGGGACAAATGGATGTTTCTGTGCACTCCAATCCCCTCTCCCTTGTACAATCTGCTTGTATCAAGACTTCTTTAGAGTCTTGTTACAAGGGAACCCAACCACCTTGTTTTTCGGAGGCTGAGCTCTTCCAGCCTCCGACCCTAGGGATGGTTGGGAACTCATCAACTGGAAAGATCCAGGATGATCCGGAAAAGATCGAAGCTGCAGTAAATGCGACCTTAGAAGAGTCTAGAATAAAATCAACCCAGAAAGACGTTAAAACAACCGATGTTGGTGGAAATTCATCCATAGTTGATCCAACAATCCCCGCTAACGGAACTATACAATCAGGTTTAGATTATCAAGCTCCTCTGCCTTCTAGTGAAGCTAATGTAACTTTAAAGACATCAACAACGCCCTCTAGTGGGGCTAATGCAACTTTAAAAGCATCAACAACGCCCTCTAGTGGAGCTAATGCAACTTTAAAAGCATCAACACTAGTGGAGCTAATGCAACTTTAAAAGCATCAACAACGCCCTCTAGTGGAGCTAATGCAACTTTAAAAGCATCAACAACGCCCTCTAGTGGAGCTAATGCAACTTTAAAAGCATCAACATCCCCCTCTAGTGGAGCTAATGCAACTTTAAATACATCAACATCCCCCTCTAGTGGAGCTATTACAACTTTAAAAACATCAACAACGCCCTCTGGTAAAACTAATGCAACTACAGATATTTTGGCTCTTAGGCTCGCTAGTGAAGCTAATGCAAGTATAAAAGAAAAGGCAAACCCATCTAGATATATCTAAAAGTAAAACTCCCTCCAGAAAAACTAGTTTAAAAGCATCAACAAAAATGAAGCTATCTGGCAGCTATATTAAAACCAGAAAGCCATGAGCCCCGTGAGCCATCTGAAATATGCCACATCTATAAAAACAATGTGACCTTTGGCTTATGAATGAATTTTCTTTCAGAAATACTTTGAAAAATACATAATTTATTTATTAAAAAATACACTGACAAGTATAGAACAAAATATATTGATAAATGCTTTGCTTAGAATAGTGCTGAACTATAAGCATTGTTCATACATTTACAATGAATTATGCAAATAAAGTAGAATATGATGAGAACACATGTTACAATGAAGACGATCTTTATTATGTTTTCAACTTTCTCAAAATCCGCAACTATCAGAGCAAAGCAGTCAGCACTGTACACTTTAGTTGTATCGACATCCCTACAGAAAAAAATAATTGATATTAGCCATTTAAACAAGGGTGTATACAGGGGGGGAAGGGTAAATTTCCCCCTAGATTTATTTCTGTATACGCCCTTGCTGGTTTAAATACACATAATATTTAGAATAAAAGGGTTACCCAGAAAGACAAACATTTGAAGAGGATCTGAATTCTGAATTTTGATCTATATACGACGATCTAAAGGTTCCATTTTGGTATTTTATCTAAAACTATGTCATAACATATAAACTGTCAAATCTGTTAAAAAATAAATAAATGGAAACTACGCGGATGTTAGAAAAAGTGATAACAAACACGTTCTGTACAGTCTTCTTGATAGTTTCATTCTTGGTGCCTATCCCTTTACTAAAGAGTTTAACCATAAAAGTAAAATTCAAATTTTGAATAAAAAAGTGCAAGAGTTAACTTATTTTCTGACAATCAAAAACGAAATTAAATTTTTAACTAAACAAAGGCAAATGGACTTTTTGGGAGTTTTAGGTCGATATTAAAAGATAAGACATATAATTGATAAAATATGGTTTCTTTTACAATTATAAGTGAAGTAACTTATAGAACGCAATTTACGGAATACATTCCTTTTAAAGATAGAAAAATCTTTAAAATTTTAAAAGTGAATCGAGCATGCCACTTTAAAATGAACAGTCACTTTAAATAACGCATGACAGTCCCTTTAAGATCATTAAAAGCTTACCTGTAAGTTATATTTTTAGTAAAGGATGCACTAAGTCGGACTGATTCAATGTAGCAGGGGGGGTCGGGGCAGCAGGACTCAGGGACTGTTTTATACGTAGGGATAGGGTTAATACGGGCATTATTAAACCAAACCTAGAATATTATTTTTAATTATTCAGTTTAATTAAACTACTATACAAATCCATGATTATATTCAAAAAATCATTATTTTCTCATTACATATATAATCAACGTGCTTTTCTTTTCTTTTTTTATTTAATTATTATTATTATTATTATTATTATTATTATCATCGTCATAATCAACATATTCACCATATATGGAGCACTATTTGATGGTAGTAGAACCCCACAGCATTTATAGTTGGAATGGATCATATCCCAGTTTTCTAAAATGTTTGATAAAATTTTAATGTTTGGATAGAATATAATAAATATAAATCACTATTGTTTACCTTTTACCCTTGTTTGAATGAATATATTAGGGTTGTATTCTGTAGTAGATTCAATCATCACACTCTTACTCCACTCTAAAGCCTAAAATATATAAAGTGCAAGAGTAAATTTTAGTTGAGAAATAAGACCTTAAACCGTTCCGGTATAAAAGTTGGTTTTTGGTTTCTAACAATTTGTATTAATTCTCCTTCATTTTCAGGATTAAAATAATATTTTTAGTAAATTCAATGATTTTACAGATTTCAGATTGGTCGATTTAACTATTAACGAACGCTCCAACAGATCTAAAGGTTACAAGCTCTCCCGCATAAGAAATAAGAAGATTCAGGGAAAAAGAGAACATGGAGAGTAAGCAGAAAAAAGAAGTGAAAGTGAAAGATATAGGCAAGAGAAAGAAAGGCGAAGATTAAAATGAAAAGAAAATGTAGGATTGAGAAAGAAAGGCTTAGAAAGGGGAAATAAAAAAAGTAAGGGGGCAAGAAACATCGTTAAGAATTTTGCCAATTATTTTTTTTTAAACTTGAGTTAAAAATAAGTTCTTGACAGATCTAAGTAAGACTTGTCTACTGTCTAGAGGGACACACTTAAAAGTCTTGAAAAACAATGCAATTTATAATGGCAGTATGGAGTAATGTTCGCTAATTTATACAGATTGAGAAGGTTATTTTGTCTAATATAGATGGGGGGTGAGGTGTTCCCCCCCGTCCCTCTCCTTTGGCTTTGCCATTAGAGTTGAGATAGATAAGTGTAATACATGTTGCTAGTCCAATTTTTAAGGCCTGCTCATGAAAAAATAGACCTCTATTTTAAATGGTTAGAGTGCAAGGGAGGATTTTAAGCAAGTAAAAAAAACTAAGTCAGAAAAATGTTCAAAAATTAATTGTTTTACTTTTGTCAATTATTAACATTTGACACATGTTATTAAATCCATTTTTCAAGAGCTTTTCAAAAATATTGTCCTGTAGCTTAATTGATAAAAAAGTTATTAACCATTTTTGATTTTTTTGAAACACAAACCCGCCGTTTAAGCGTCTTCCAGCCTAACCTGTGAATCAGAAATACAAATAATAGCAAAATTTGCTCACAGCTATGAAGTTGAAAAAGTGAAGAAATGTTAGTGTTCTAAAATAATTTTAAAAATTTAGAAAAAAAACACAGCATTGGGGGCTCCCCCCCATGTGATAGGGTTAAGATTTTTTTCTTTTCCCCTTAACAAAAATTACTAAATTTTCTGAATAAAAAATGTTACCGTTGGTTTGAAAAGAAGCCAAGTGAAAGCTCCTCCCATGATGAGGATTACAACAAATATAATAAAGAACGTGTACGTACAGATCATACAGCTTACATCCTACAATATAAATAGTCAATTCAGGGACTTAAGAATATACAAATTGTTTTGAACAATTGCAAAATCGGCAAAAAAATAAAAATGAACAGAGAACGAAAATTTTTTGTCGAGTAACTTTTATCTTGAACACTTGATCTCGAAATCCAATGTGGGCACTTTTGAATTTAAGGATCCTTTAAGTAAAGTTTTCCTGCAAGATACGATCACCACGGGCAAGGGATAAAATTAAAACTTCATCCCGAGGTTAAAAATACAAAAGTTCTGAGTTTAATTGTTTAATCTGTCAAATATTTCTTTAAAAGTGGTACCTTGCACAAATTTTAAAAATAATTATCTAATATAAGTTGAGATTTCAGACCCAAGACATTTTTTTTTGCAAAATCGCCCCTCAAACTGCAAATTTAAAAATATGTATTCTGATCTTTGTAAAATTAAATCTAACCTTGCAGGCCCCGCAGCATCCACAGAATGAGAAGACAAGAATAACTGGAAAAATATTAATAAATTATTTTACAAACTGGACTCTAATTTTCTAATCCTTATTTCCAACCCTTTGGAGTCAAACTATAAAATCTGCTGCAAATCGAATAGTCAAAGGTTGCAAAGGATGAGAAAGTTATGGTAGGGAGACAAATGTTAAGATCCTTCCATCAAAGAAAAAGTATGAAATTCAATTAAAAAATTCAACTTAAAATGTGCATTAAAAAAATGTCAGATGCTCAGGGAAAAAAATATGTTTTACATTAGAAAAATTGGAAATTTTTGTTTGCATTGATCGAGAAGAATGTTTGCAGTAGTAGTAAATTTTAATTTGATTTTAGGTACTTTCTCAAATGCATTTTCCCAAGCTGCAACTTCCCACAGGTATTTTCCCGAGCTGCAACTTCCCACAGGTATTTTCCCGAGCTGCAACTTCCCACAGGTATTTTCCCGAGCTGCAACTTCCCACAGGTATTTTCCAAATTGAAAACTTTTCAAATGAGCAATTTTGCAAGCTGCAACTTCCCAAGTGTGATCAAGCCGCAGCGCTCTGTCCCCTAGCCTATCCTAGCCGCAGCACTGATTGCAGCCTACGGCGCCTCAGAAGTCCTAGCCTAACCTTAGGGAAGTCACCCTTGGGAAAATGCCAAAGGGCAAATACATAACATATATAGGATTTGTATCAGATTTACAATAGTTTAAAATATAATTGGAATCTTTTAAATGTAAAAACCAGTTTTGGCTAAAGAAGCAATCCATTTTGAAATTTCAAGATAAAAAAGTCACAACTACCTGTCCCCGCAACCTCGCATATGATGCCCAATATCAGAAAGTATGTGTAATACTCAAAATATATACAGGGTACATATCGTACTGCAGAGCTCTTTATATTATCCTAAATTAATCGCAGGTCAGATTTAATGAATGGCAAGAAGTAGTTGAACTACGCAGAGAGTGTATTCAAGAGGTATAAGACAAACTCTCCATATATAGTTAAAATACTATTTATTAAAGTTTCTCAAGCTTTATGAACATGTAAATGATTTTGATCTTTTTTAAGATTTCAAATAAAAAATATTTTTGTTTATGTTTTACTTTTCCATAAGTTAAAATTAAAATTTATAATAACTGAAAATCTTAATCAAAATTAATAAAAAAAATTATTATGTAAATGAAATATAAAATAGGTTTAAGTTTTCAATTTGATAAAGTTAATTTAATATTTTTATAAAATATGATTTTTTCATTCGTTAATAAAATTAATGGATTTTATTCATACAATTATGTATTTTTTTTATATTAAAGTCTGGTAATAACTAGATATGAATGATCAACTGCAATCCTCAATCAAAATACTTAACAAAGGAATTGAGTCTTTGCCACTTACTTTCTGATTTTCTAATACCTATATATATATGTGTGTGTAGCCCGATAGCGTAGGTCTTAGATATTTCAAGCTATGAATGTTGTTTGATCAAATAATCTAAGTTTGACATATCAAAGGTATACTCCATCAGGTTGAAAAAATAGAGGAATTAGAAAATGTTTGTTTGAAGAATTTTAAATTATTATCTTACACTTATTATTGTACTGTCAATTAGCAGCCAAAGTCCAATAGCGATTAGAACCATGCCCAGTAGCATACTGTATAGTCAGGATACATTTACTTTCTTCTTTTCTTCAGTGGTGTCATAGTTATTCTCACTTATTACCCGCCCTTTGTCGTAAATTACGTTTTTACCTATTTTTGTCCCGTTAAGGTGAACCCACTCAATTTAGAATCTTAGAACTTTGCTAAGAACATTTCCTTGGGTCTCTCCAAGGATGTAATACTAGGAAAGTTATTTCAGAAGTGTATGCACCTTTTGTACTGCAGTGTACTGTCACTGGGTGGTAATGTAAACACAAGACGGATGTTACAGCCTGACATGGGATCCATCTTTCACAAAAATCAATGAAATATTCTGGTCATAGGAAACTATTATGTGAATTATCAAAATTATCAAAATAAAATGGTTTAAACCTCCTCGGATACTGAACGAACACTGATGCATCTATTCTTGTTTACAAATTCCACCCAAAGAGAACTGGTTTCAATATGCACGCAGAGTATACACGACCGCAATTAACTTTCCTTGCATTACATCCTTGGGTCTCCCAAATTCCCTAATCAAATGTTGAGGCAAACGGAGATAACAACTTCATATATGTAGATTTACAGAAAAAATAAGAAAAAGAAGACAAAAAAGCTGGCTTGCAAATAGCATTTTACATATGTTATATATCATATCTCCCTTCCCCTCCTTCAGCAGAGTAAATAAATTAGGTGAAGTTAGTTTAACATTTTTTCTCATTTCATGATTTTTTAAAATTGGAATATTAAAATTATTCCTTTTTCTTCAAAGCAATATTCCAATAAAATATAATTAAAGTTAATGTATTCCTTATTAGGTTTATAACTATGAGTGTACAGTTTACACATCTTCTTCCAGGATCTTTTCTAACTAAACTTTGATGGTTGTAATGCCGCGACATTTTAGAAAATTCTTTCCTTTATTATTCGTTTTGTAGATTGTTCTTTACAGAAAATTGATGGAGTACATCCTGGGGAATTTTCCTAAATTAGAAGGATGAGTTAACAGTAACAAGAGAAAATGACACATCTGAATTAAATTAAATTAAACGAAAATTTTTATCTTTTATGTTTTCAATTATAATTTCTTTATCAAAGAGCAATTGAGAAAAAAAAATGATCTGAGTTTCCAATACTTTATAATATAAAAAAGAGGAGCTACGAGGTTACAAAGTCCAAGCAGTACTGTCGCATGCATTTGACCGTCTCCTACTGTCAAGAAAAAAGTGATAATTTGGTTTTATGAAATAGTAGCAACTTTAAATAACCCATAATTCTATCATTTTTTTTTCTTCACTTTCTTAAGGATTTTAGTCCTTGCCAAAAACTCAAATTTTCTAATCCCTATATATTTGCAACCTGATATTTTTAACCTTTGATATTTCAAACTTTTATTATTTGATCTAACTCAGTTTACAATTCTAAGGTCTCCGCCATTGGGTTGCAAACATATGGAATTAGAAAATCAAATTTTAGTAAACAGTATTTTTCCATCCTGTAACATAATTAGGTCAATACGCAGACAACAATTTGCTTTTTTAAATAAATAACGAAAAAAAATCAACTGTTTTAACATAAAAATGAGTTTTAAACCCACTTAGACTTAAACATCATAACTGTAGAACTGTTGTTAACAAACTGTTTTTTCTTTTATTTATAAAAGTAACCTTAGACATGCTTTCTCCACAATACCATGGGAGCTCCGTCAGATTTATTTATTATTCATTAAAGTCAAATACTACATTTTATGCATTTAAAATAGAAATGAAGAGAACTGTGGACGTATTTACAATCTTGTATTGCCAAAATACGTAGAATATAGAACCTTTTTCTTCAAATACATTTTAATGTCTTTTTAAACTGGCTTTATATTTTTTAATTTTTACAAGTTATTTTCAATAAGTTTAGCTAACATTTTTTTAAAGGTACTTCTAGACGTCTCAAAGCTTACTGTTTTCTCCCAACGGACTTTATTCATCAAACTTTTTATTTATACATTTGTTAATTGCATTTTCCAGGAGGTTGTTTAGCTCCGTTGTCATAGCACTGGAACGGTTTTAATACCAACCTTATGAGAAAGAGGACACTTGGGATGCTCGAGATACTAAAGTTTGGGCCTTAAACTTTACAAATTCAAAGCAGACACCTTTGACATGTTCCAAAATGCATTAGAGGAGAATAATATAGATAAGGCAGCAGTCTACATGTGAACTAAATGGGGAAAAGTGTAATGGAGAGTGTTGGCGGAAAGGGGAAATGTTTGAGCAGGAAAAACCAGAAAAAAACCCGTTTCTCAGACCAAATTCACGATCGGCTTCTTAGTTGATGAACTTTGATAAGTTTGGCATCTAAAATTTGGTTCAAAGAGTTCTCGGGAAAAGATATTAATTGGTTTGCTGAAACGTAGATACCAACTATAAAAACCCTTTCTACAATAAAGGCTTACCCGCCATTGACTTTTTAAAGTTTACTGGAACCTTTAGAACACGCAAAAATTGATAAAGTTTGAATCTATAGATCAAATATTTAGGCTGTGACAAGCAAAGTTAACGGGCTATGGGAAAAAGCTAATTGCATCCTAAATATTATCTGATCGACATTACCTTGTCAGAAAATTTACCAGGTATATAAATATTTGTATTGGTATTATTATAATCATTGGTATAATTATTATCTATATATCAAAACAAGACATCATATATATATTGCGTATAGCCGGCCCAACGGCTAGACCGAAGGGGCTGAAAATTATTAAAGGACACTCATGGGTAGTCTGGGGGTGATAAAGGCAAAAAAATTTTAATATTTTATCTTCCAAATTTTGTTTTTTCCTCGGGCAACGCGACGCCGGGATCTTTTTATCTATGTATTTAGTAAAACAAGAAATTGGTATATATGTTCCCTATAGCCGACCAAACGGCTGGACCGAATGGGCTAAAATGTTCTATGGGAACCCAGGTGTATCACATGGGTAACAAAGGCTAAAAAATTCAATTTTTTTTTATTCCATTGGGAACACCGGGCAATTCAGCTAGTTATTATTGTTATTACTTTTACAATTATCATTATCATTATGATTATCATTATCATTATCATTATCATTATCATTATCATTATCATTATTATTATTATCATTATCTTTATTACTATTACTATTATCATTATTATTATTATTTTTATTATTCTGATTATTAATTTTGATTATCATTATGATTATCATTATCTTTATTACTATTACTATTATTATTATTATTATTATTTTCATTATTATTATTATTATTATTATTATTATAAGAACCTGAGTTAGGATTTAATAAGGAATAAGGAATTCTTTAAAATTGACGTTTAGTATTTCATGAAAATGCGCCCTACAGTAGTTTTTCTAGAACTAGACATTTTTCATTAAAATGTCTCAAAAAATCAGATTTTTATTAGTGATCCATATAATAGTGAAAGAAGGATAAATACATAAATCATATTAGTAATATACGTTTTAAGTCACGCAATATTTTTTTACGGTTACATAAACTCTGATGGGCGTATATGGTTGTACCAAATGCCTTACTCAAGCAAGTTCTTTGAAGTCTGTTCAATCCAGATACAACACTCTCTGTACTCTTTAGTCTGTACATATGGTTCAGATAAAATTCGCTCTAGAACTCTAAGTTTGACAAAAATACTTTAGTCTGTATCAATCCAGGTAAACACGTTCTCTGTATTCTTTGCATGTATCGTTCAGATACAGCTCGCGCTAGAACTTAATGTTATACAAAAATACTTTAGTTTGTGTCAATCCAGATACATCACTCTATGTACTCTTTAGTCTGTATCAATCCAGATACAACATACTCTCTGTATTCTCAATATGTATCTTACAGATACAACTCGCTATAGAACTCAATGTTCTACAGTAATACTTTAGTCTGTATCAATCCAGATACAACACTCTCTGTATTCTTAGTATTTATCGTTCAGATACAACTCGCGCTTGGTCTCTCTGCTCTCTACAGGAGAAGTAATACGTTTCTAAACGTCATAAAGCAAGAGCCATGTCCAACTAATCTATATTCAAATTAATGATGGGTTTTATAGCTACAGAAATTAATTAACGTGGTTAGTTATGTTCAGGTTTACAAAATATGGGGTTTGTTACTATATTTATTACATGGTTTTAAAACAGTTCTCGTGAATAATAATTAATATTGAAGATCTTGATTTATGATTTTAATCTCTGCAGATTTTTTGTTTTCCGTTTTTTCCCTAATGAGATCTGATTAGGCAAATACAAATGATTTAATATATATGTAACAAACCTGGAATCAGATGTATCCCTAGGATCTATCCATTTACTTCTATATTCTGATTTCTGTATTGTAATCCTAATTTTAGTTTTGTAACCTGGCCGGTCATACCGGCCCCCATATAACCATATGTTTATCGATAAATCAGTTGAATACAGACTTTTGTTCAGTACGGACGGAATCAGCCTGGGTAGGCTGATAAATTAGAGTTAGAGGCAGTTTAGCCATAAAGATTAAGTGAGGAGAGACGGGCTAGATCGGTACACATAAATAAAACCTAACCCAATCAACTGAAGATTGGGACAATGCCTATGAAACTTTTGTTCCGGAAAATATATATTTAAGCATAAAAATGTAGAAATATTTAAACTGAAAAAAGTTAAAATGTTATGTATATACACACTATGTTTGAGAACCCAGCGTTGCCCATGGGGAACACTTATAGTTATGCTTCCCGTTTACCAGCGCTTGGTCGTAAATTACGTTATAAGCTATTTTCCTTCTAAAATTGGAACCCACTCAACTTAGAATCTCCCGAATTCCCCAATCAAAATTTGAGGCAAATTGGTCAATATATTGTATTTTATATAATATGAATTATGTATCTATATCTATATATATATGTATAAATACAAATATATATAGGTGAGCGTATAAGGTTGTCCTGGAATGTACGTATATTGCGTATATTGCATCTCTAGGATTTTCTTCAGTATTCATTTGAATGCCAGAAGGGAGAGACACATCATGTTCAGTGTACGTAATTATAAAATACCATGAAAGGATTTGGGGGGATAAGGGGGGGGGGGTGTAGATTAACCCCATATTTTGCCCAGTAAATCAGTGAGTCCAAAAATAGAAAAATTTTACATTTAGCAAAATTGCAATACTTTACTATAGACTAAATTTACTTTACACAATTATTTTTAAAACCAAAATTTTACGTTAACATGCAAAAAAAGTTATTTTCTGTCTTCGTGTTTTGTTGTTTCTAATAAACAGCATAACGGCTGAATTGATCACATATAACCCCAGGGAAAGTTTACAGCTGGTCGAGAGTAAAAATTGTGGATGGAATAATTGTCAATTTTCTGAATATAAGAAATCCATCAATGTTAACGGGAAAATCCACGAAATTTTTAGTTTTGCAATTTCGAAGAAAAATACAGGCTTGAAAATCAACGTTTAAAGGCTGCTAGTAGAGGGTTGTAAAACATTTTAAAAGCTTAGTAAATAAGAAAAGGAGAATTGTATTCATAAATTATTTGTTGCACAGATTCATTAAATTTGAAAATTAGCATTTTTCTTTGAAATCTGTTTTTTAATATCGGCCAACTTTATAAGATAGATAAATTGAAATAAGACATGAGATATATATATTTAGACTCCCCAACTAAAATATACTTTTTTGTAACACTAGACATGTATATTATAGAACTTCGGGCAAACATTTACTTGTGAATGGGTGTAGTCGGCAAAATTTTAATTCATTTTCACGCGTTGGCTGAAAACTTTCCAAGATATTACGTGTTTTGTAATTCCTAGAATTTAATGAAAAAAAACTAGTTTGCGAAGAGGAAACCCAAAAATGGTTATTTTGTTGCCTTCGGAGGTTTGATCGTTCTGTCCAATTTGTTTACCTATCTATGGTATTCTCTCTTTTTTCAAGGAACGTTAAATATGGTTTCCTTTTCTTAATCTCCTTTCTCTTTTCATCTTGGGGCAAAACTTTCTTTTTTGTAGCCTCAACCCCCCTCCCCCCACGTTCAGCAACGTCCCCCCCTCACTATGTTGTCCAGCAACGTCCCCCATTCCAACATATCCCCCACACACAATCCGCCCCCCCCCCCCCTAAATCCTACCTCAGGTCTATATTTTAGTGTTGTTCAAGGGAAAATAGGGCCTACGCAACTTAACTGTTAAATCATACTTTCTTCTTTTTACAAGCATCCCTCTTCCCGTATCCACCTCCCCTCCCTCTTTCCTCATCCCACACTGACCCATTGTTTTCTAAACCATCTCAATCACGTTGCCGACCAAAGAAAAAACTGTTATTTTTTATGAAACATCATGTGAGAGTTTGCCTAAGAATTGTTTATGGGGAGTAGTTTATATCCAAAGTATTGATCTGCTTTAAGGATATTTTTTGGAAATAATTTGGTTTTAGAATATTTTCCAAATATACATATTTTGGCTAGTCAATTATTTTTTTGAGACCTTGCAGGACCTTAGATTGAATTTAGAATTTTTCTCTTTAAAACATTGGCAAAAAATGTTAGAAATACTCCAATGAAAACAGGTAAATCTATGCTACATAGAAGTTGCTATTATTTATGGATAGGAGCAATCGAAAGATAACTAAGCCGGGGTTGAAAACTTTGCAAAACTAGGTTTTTAAAAAATTCAATATGGAATTTTCAAAATAAATTAAAAATTTGAAATTTTTTTTAAAACTAACATTGATTGACTGATTTTGCAGAAGAGAGTAACCGTTGCCAGCGTACTGTGTTTGCTCCATCTCACTTTGCAGGCAGGAACCAGCAGTATACGGAGATCGGTCACTAGTCTTAGAACCCAGGTATAGAGATCGGTCACTACTCACTAGTCTTAGAACCCAGGTATATTGATCGGTCACTAGTCTTAGAACCCAGGTATAGAGATCGGTCACTAGACTTAGAACCCTATTTAGAGATCGTCACTAATCTTAGAACCCAGGTATAGAGATCGGTCACTAGACTTATACCTCAGGTATAGAGATCGGTTACTAGACTTAACCCAATTTAGAGATCGGTCCTGCATGGATAGATATCAAAAAGGAAATTAAAAATAATTTTAAATCCGGAACCAAACGCCCGTGACCATGTTTGAAAAACTTGATTATTTTATTTCAGCGTTCAGTTGATGATGTCTCCTACCTGGGGTGTTTATCCTCTGTACCCTCTATGCAGATGGTGTTGTTCCTAGATCATATTTGTGTGGACTGTTTCAATCTGTACAACGAAATTGAAATCTATTCATACTGCAGGTAACCTTTAATTTTTTTGTTACTTTTTAAAAATTGTTATCTCGAAATTTTTCAACTTTAAATTGTTTTGCACTAAATTCGTTTTGAGTGCAATAGTGCCATGATCGCACGAAAATTTGGAAAAATTTCACCGTTTTACTGTTTTTAACTTAAATTACCCAAATAAGTAGAACAGTTCCTTTAAAGATCTTTAAATAGCTGATAAAGATAGTAATACAGTGGCATTCTCAGAATAAAAAACTCGTGCTTATAAAAGACTTTTATTCATTTAAATCTCGGTGCTACAACATCTTAAATGTTTATTTAAGATCTCTGTGCTACAACAAAAACTTTTTGTTTATTAAAGATCTCTGTGCTACAACAACAACTTTATGTTTATTTAAGATCTCGGTGCTCCAACAACAACTTTATGTTTATTTAAGATCTCGGTGCTAGGCTGCAACAACAACTTTATGTTTATTTAAGATCTCGGTGCTACAATAACAACTTTATGTTTATTTAAGATCTCGGTGCTAGGCTGCAACAACAACTTAATGTTTATTTAAGATCTCGGTGCTACAATAACAACTTTATGTTTATTTAAGATCTCTGTACTGCAACAGCAACTTTATGTTTATTTAAGATCTCGGTGCTACAACAACATCTTAAATGTGTATTTAAGATCTCGGTGCTACAACAACAACTTTTTGTTTATTTAAGATATCTGTGTTACAACAACATCTTAAATGTTTATTTAAGATCTCGGTGCTGCAACAACAACTTTATGTTTATTTAAGATCTCGGTGCTACAATAACAACTTTATGTTTATTTAAGATCTCTGTACTGCAACAGCAACTTTATGTTTATTTAAGATCTCGGTGCTACAACAGCAACTTTATGGATGGATGTATGGAAGCAGTTGGTTCAGATGCCGCTACAATATCTAAAGCGCACACCTACAGATTCTACCTTAATCTAATTTAATCGAAAAAATGGAAAAAGTTGTATTTTTTCATTTTTTTATACGGGTGTAGAAACCGTAGAATCAGAGGGATAGCAAAAGGTAAGTCTGAAATATGACCCTTTTCTTGGTAGAATTTTTTGCTCACAATCCAATATGGCGTTCAAAATGTGTTTATATTGTTGAAAACATACTAAATATTAAATTTCTTATTATTATGATAATTCTTTCAATCAATACATAAGATGTCGGGTATTTTTTCAAAGGCGTCTTCCCACTATGGAAATTGTCCCTTGGAAAGTGACCCCTTGGAAAATGCCTTTGGAAAAATAACTAACACAGTACATAACACTGATTCACTAAGACATTGAATTGCAATTTTACGTTCTAACCAGCTAACGTACAGCACTTCAAACAATTTGCTGGTTTGTATTGTCAACAAAAATGCAGTTTAGATTATAATATCTGTCATTTGATTAAAGTTTAAATATTCAGATATTGAGTTGACCTACATAGAGAAGAGTGGAGGTAGATCTCAAACTAGCCCAGCTACTGCGACTACAAGAGTACAGCTGTCTACCAGAGATACATTCATGTGTATAGTCCGACCAGACAATGTAAACATCATACTTTAATTTCTATTTATCATTTTATAAATATAATATTCAACAGAATACCTAACGTATTCGAAATCTTACACAATTCTTATATTTTAATGATATAAATTAAATAAAGCGACTGAAAAAAATTCATACCATTTTTATTTTCTTATATTTACTGTCATCGTCGATATGAATCAATACAGTGAAGACGAGCTTGGACTTAAATTTTTGATATATCAAGCTTTTAAACTGTATGGATACACATAAGCATTAAAACAAAGAGAAGCTGTCCATTAATAGCTTCTCTTTGTTAAGTTGTAAACTTGCAAGTTGATAAACATCTTAAGTTAGAATCAAAACTTAAATAGAAAGTGGTTTTCATTGTATTTATGTAAACGCCGACATTGTAAATACTCTCTATGTTCTGCTTTCATTATGTAAACAAACCATACTGCTTAATTGGTCCAATACGATCTTAGAAAATGCCGTTTTATTGAAAATTCCAAGATCTTAGGTTTTATACATATATTTCACCCTTTACCTTTTGAAATCTCGTGTAAAGGGTGAAAGAAAGAAAAACATTCGGTTTATAATATCAAGGGTCTACACCAAGTTGTAAAGATATAAGATTGGAAAATTAAAGTTAGTTCCTGAATATTATACCATCTATCTATAAGGTTTATGAATGATCAAATTTCAAAAATTTGCCTCCAACAAAACGCGATTTTCATTCAATTTTGAAAGATTTTAAAATTCAACGAAATTTTTTTATGTAATCCGTGAACTTTTTGTTTTGTTTTGTTTTACAATGCACACAAAGTGCACATATTGAAATCGACAATGGACGCGAAGCGCCTTAAAAACCTAGTCAATATATATATATATATATATATATATATATATATATAAATAAAAAACAATGTATTACGAATACTTTTAGAGAATACACGTGACAAGGCAATTGTTAAGGAACACTTTCTTCACTACCGAGATAGTAAAGTAAAAATGATTTATTGTTTACTTTATTTTGTAAAGATTTTATAACGAGAAAATAGATTATTATCATACCGTGCCATAAATTGTAACATCAGTTTAACATCACGAGGTTTTTGGTGCACTTCGCGCCACATGTTTCAAGCCGCCATTTTTCTTCCTAAATCGTAAAACCAAAAATTCTGCGGATTTTTTTGTTGTTATTGATCGATTTAAAAAAAGATGAAATGTCCACATATTTTCTTGGCAACATTTGTTCACTTTCAGCATTCAATTTCGACCAGCCACAATAAACCTTGACCATGGGATCATCATCATAGGAGATTTGATGTTTATTGGATAGAAACAAACAGTTGAAAAAAATAAAAATATATTTATAGATAAGAAGACAGAAATAAAAAAATTAACTTAAAAAGATATTAAAACCAGTTCTGCATTCTGAACGTTTTTTTGTATTAGTAAAATTGAGTTAATACAGAATGTTATCTGTGTTATCTTCTGCACATTTCATAAGTCTATAGAATATTTTGGCGACTTTCTAATTCAAAATATTTTCGACAGTAAGTAAATTTCTTTAAATCGCCGGCAGAGAAATTTAAGAAAAAAGCTGCGCAGTTGACACCTATTCCCACAGCTACTAAACCCTGATATTCCTACAGGCCAATATGCATCTGAAATTCTCTGTGTGCTAATTAGAGGAGAATTGCTTTACTTAGATCCAATACAGGGTAACCCGCAAAGGATGCGACTTTAATGAAGAGCTATAACTCCGGAAGTGTCCCCATAATTATAAAAAATGAACAACTTTGCAATTTAGTTAACTAGTCTATAAAAATATTAAAAAAATACTAACTAGGTTCTTTAAATTTAAAATTTTGTCTGTGGAGGACGATAGTTCGACCTCTATAAGAGAGTTCAACAACAATCAGGTAGTATAAGAAATAGAAGGGAGATATAACTGACTCAGTTCGCCCTACCATATGATTGTACATGCTTTGCAGACGGTACTTCATTCGTATAAGAAATATTAAGAAAAAGGTTATTGTATACGCGGTAATTGTCATTAGACAAATATTTCTTTTTCAAATGAAGTACAGTCTGCAAAGCATGTATTATCAAATGGTAGTGCGAACCACGTCAGTTACAAGGAGAATTGAATAGAAGGAGGGGGCGATAGGGTTTCCGTACACTTTGCTGTGACGTTTTTGGACTGCTGAAGAACTAGTTTTTGCGTAATAACAATAATAAAGATTGTAAACAATAACACACATGATAAACAGACATCTGGCATCTCTGGCGCGTTAAATGAAGATTCAATGTATACTAACTCATAATTGTTTACATTAGATCGGCTGCCTTTGTTATTGTTGTTGTTGAAAAACTAGTTTTTCAGCAGTCCAAAAACGTCACAGCAAAGTGTACGGAAACCCTATCGCCCCCTCATTCTATTCAATTCTCCTTGGTCATGCAGTTATATCTCCCTTCTATTCTTTACTCCCTGACAATAACACAGATTACACTGGAGCAGAGAGGATTCGTGCGCGGCATTCGACTTTTAGTTTTCATGTTTGATATATAAACATTGATATAGTTCTCCTAAGCCTGTTAAGCTAGACCCGTTAAAACTAAGTCTGCTAAGTTTTGAGTAAATATATACTGGAAAAGTTATCCTTGCGTTTTATTAGAGTTCGTTCTCATGTCTTCTATATGCCTATGTTATTTCAAAATTGTTAAAAACGTTTTTTCTGCTGACTGAAACAACAGGTGAAATATTAAAAACGACTTTACGGTCTTATTTAAAAATTGTTCACCGTACAAATGTCTCATTGGTATCAAATGAATCTTTCTCTACAATACTGCACTTTCAGCTCAACCACGTACCATGTCTCTCCCTTTAAGCCTCATCCTTATGTGGGTAACCCTATATTTGGCACAATTGTGTGTCTATGTCTAAGATAAAATGCAAAGCTTACTCGCTTTATTAGCTGTTTATTTACAGCAGCTCACGTCAAACTGAAGCAAATTATACATTAGATTGAAATCTTATATGTTTTTAATCAAAACACCTCTTATAGAAGTGCTCTTGAGTATAACAAAAATGTTTTAAATTTCTAATATGTAGCAAAAATTTAGTTTTTTCTATTGTTGCGTAAAATCATAACAGGAGGAGCCACAAGGTCACATAAATTTTAATATCTCTTTCTGTCTAGTTTGCAGAGAGCTGAAAGTAGGAATAATACATTCCAGACAAAGCGTGAATTTTCAGTTTATGTTGGCTTGAAAAACTCTGCAGTATTCAAACTACAAGGAATGTTGTGACTAACTTCAGGGGGCATTAGTTTAAACTCACACTAGGTTCATTTCTAACATTGAGTGTTAGAAATGGCCCATATCAAGAGTAAAACTAAGTCGACAATATAAACTATTACCAACATTCTATTCCCATTATTGAACTATTTTATGAAATCTAAATTCTAAAAGGAATTTATTTCATGTTAAACCATTGATTGTTTTCAAGACAAAATCAGGAATTCTATTTTCGAACTTATCCTGAATAATAATCATCATTATTAGTAGTTCTGCATGGGTGACAAATTAGAAAGTTAGATCAAAAAATAAAACCAGCAAATTTTTGCTAAAGGAAAATTAACTAAATAAGATAAGATAAGATACGGGAGGATCTGAAGACTCTCCCATCTTGGAGAGCCCACCGCCATCGGGGCTAACTCCCATGAGCTCCGGCACCCCCCGGCTCCCAAACTTACGATGGGAAGATGCTACCAGTGGGTCGGGCATAATCACAAAGTGATCCTGATGTGCATCTTCCAAAGCTTACAATGGCGATAACACGAGAAAAGATTTTACCTGTCTACAATTCTAAAGAACAAATATCGTTTGATGCTGTTCAAACAAAGCCCATGCCACGGTAAATTAGAGGTCCTGGTTAGAAGCATTAATCTTAGAACTAATTATTTTCCATTAAATGAAGATTTTTCGTACAATTGCCACTCTATATACAATATTACTAATATAGAAGGATATAAAGTCGTTGACTCTGCAGTTTTCCCCGGATTTAGAATTTGAGATAAAATAAGACTAAAAATATTTCGATCTAGACAAAATATACTTTTAAACTTAGCAATAGTTTTTACATTATGCAGTAGGGAGTAGAACCATTACAACAAATTACACGGAATTGGTCCTTTAAATGAAAACAGCTGGTTTACTGTATACAATAACATATATGCAGTAATAATTATATTGGAAATATGACATTAAAGCAATACTAGTAACTCATTTAATTACGTATTAAATAACATTGGTCTATTTATCATGTTCATAAGAATATTTAAAGTCATAACTTGAGTTTAAAAGTAGTATTCTTATTCTCCCTGTATGATGCATTTTGCATATTTAAATCTAAGTAGAGAATTTAAATAAAACATACATACACGTTTTTAAAATATGTTCACCCTGTATATTTATATACATACATATCTACATAATAGAACTGTTGGTTCTTTTAGAGTTGGGATTGTGTGAAGGGATGATGCAACCACAACACTCTTCGGTGGAAGATTGCAACTTCCACTCTCCGAGGCTCGGAGGGAGGATGCAATCATTTTATCTCCGAGGCTCCCCTCGCAACCAGTTTAACCAATGCTAAGGTTTAGAGATGAACTGAACAGAGCCTTCATATAAATATAGTATATACAATTACAAAATTATCAAGTGACAGAATCATCTCAAAAACGTTATATTCAAACCTTTTGATTTATATATGATCTAAACTAGAAGTTTAAATCTTACATTTATACTGTTATGCTTTGCACCGATGGGTCATTTCTTTACACAAATTGTTTTTCTGCAAAACCTATTATAACAATTGTATTGCGTTAAAAGTTAGAAGAAGAAATTCAGAATCCTAGACAAAGAATTTATAGAATAAATCCAAAGTTTCTACAAAATATTATAATTTCTTTGAACAAACGCCATGATTGGTTAAATGTGTTTCTAAGCTTTTATCAAAATTTGATATAATTAAAAGCGTTCAATATATAATAAAAAAATGCATTAATATAGATTTGCAGGTATTTTTAAAGTTATCTCTTATAGTAAACATAATTTTTTCTATTTGGTTTTCGTTAAACTAGATTTTTCTAGAAGAAAATGTTAAATGATGAAATAGTGTGACAGTGATTACATTTGTGAAAACAATTTACAATGAAAACTAAATAACATGGAGCAAGGAATAACCTAGACCAAGGTGATATATACAAGGGTATCCTAGCTAGACCAAGATGATATATACCAGGGTATCTTAGACCAAGATGATATATACAAGGGTATCCTAGACCAAGGTGATAGATACAAGGGTATCCTAGACCAAGGTGATAGATACAAGGGTATCCTAGACCAAGGTGATATATACAAGGGTATCCTAGACCAAGATGATATATACAAGGGTATCCTAGACCAAGGTGATATATACAAGGGTATCCTAGACCAAGGTGATATATACAAGGGTATCCTAGACCAAGGTGATATATACAAGGGTATCCTAGACCAAGGTGATATATACAAGGGTATCCTAGACCAAGGTGATATATACAAGGGTATCCTAGACCAAGGTGATATATACAAGGGTATCCTAGACCAAGGTGATATATACAAGGGTATCCTAGACCAAGGTGATATATACAAGGGTATCCTAGACCAAGGTGATATATACAAGGGTATCCTAGACCAAGGTGATATATACAAGGGTATCCTAGACCAAGGTGATATATACAAGGGTATCCTAGACCAAGGTGATATATACAAGGGTATCCTAGACCAAGGTGATATATACAAGGGTATCCTAGACCAAGGTGATATATACAAGGGTATCCTAGACCAAGGTGATATATACAAGGGTATCCTAGACCAAGGTGATATATACAAGGGTATCCTAGACCAAGGTGATATATACAAGGGTATCCTAGACCAAGGTGATATATACAAGGGTATCCTAGACCAAGGTGATATATACAAGGGTATCCTAGACCAAGGTGATATATACAAGGGTATCCTAGACCAAGGTGATATATACAAGGGTATCCTAGACCAAGGTGATATATACAAGGGTATCCTAGACCAAGGTGATATATACAAGGGTATCCTAGACCAAGGTGATATATACAAGGGTATCCTAGACCAAGGTGATATATACAAGGGTATCCTAGACCAAGGTGATATATACAAGGGTATCCTAGACCAAGGTGATATATACAAGGGTATCCTAGACCAAGGTNCTATTTATTTATTTTCGCAAATACTGAAATTTACGTAATATAGCATAAAACTCATTGAAAAATTGTCAAGACGACATTTGATAAATTCTTCCGATGTATTCGTAATTAAGGGTTTCACTGTATATACAGAAGTAATCTCTGTTTGTTTGTTAATATGTATCATAATAATTTCAAGATTCCCTTGACCGATTTGCCATAAATTTTGATCGGGGAACTCTGTAGAACCACGGGAATGTTCCTAGCTCGCTTGGCTCAAAACTATTAATTGTGTTCGTTGAATTTTGTCCAGGCAAAGCTGAGTTCCCAAATTAGTGACAAATAAAGATATTTCTGAATATCCTCGTTTTCTTGCTAGTCAAGCTTGGACATTTTGGCTTAGAAAAGATTGTTATTTTGGCACTTTATTGCCCTGAAAATATTCACAATATTCCTTTAATTTTGCCACTTTATTGCCCTGAAAATACTCACAATATTCCTTAAATTTTACCACTTTATTGCCCTGAAAATACTCACAATATTCCTGTAAAACTGTTCCCGCATATTCATGGATATTTATTTATTTTCGCAAATAATGAGAGGAATTGAGTTTTTGCAACAAACTCTGATTTTCTAATTTCAATATCGTTGCAGCCCGGTGTCGTAGATGAATGATATTAGATCAAATAATGTAAGTTTGAAATATCAAAGGTTTACATCATATAAAGGCTGTAAAGATCTTGGTTTTACAAAAACTGAATTTGTGGCAAAGACTCAATTCCTTTACGTAATATTGTATAAAACTCATTGACAAATTGTCAAGACGACATTTGATAAATTCCTCCTATGTATTCGTTATTAAGGGTTTCACTGTATAAGTGTGAAGAGTTTATTTTTTTGATATTTTATAGTAGTCTTGGCTTTTTTGATAACCAAATCACATTCTAATTCTAAACCAACTAAATGAAAAATGAAAATAAAATTTTTAAAAATCAAGAAGTGACAATATTTGAGAGATTACTTCTAATCACTAGTTTAATTCCACATGCTTGAATTCATAATGTTCATTATTTCGACATATATTAATCCAAGGTGATATATACAAGGGTATCCTAGACCAAGGTGATATATACAAGGGTATCCTAGACCAAGGTGATATATACAAGGGTATCCTAGACCAAGGTGATATATACAAGGGTATCCTAGACCAAGATGATATATACAAGGGTATCCTAGACCAAAGTGATAGATACAAGGGTATCCTAGACCAAGGTGATATATACAAGGGTATCCTAGACCAAGATGATATATACAAGGGTATTCTAGATCAATGTGATAAATATAAGAGTATCCTAGTATCCTAGACCATATTATCTTAGATTTAGGTATCCTAGACCAAGGTAGTTTAGACCAAGGTATTCTTGACCAAGGTATCCAAGGTATTTGAGATCAAGTTTCCCTAGACCAATCACTTTAATGCTTTTTTTGGTCTGAAATTTGCCTGTATTATAGATTTAAAATGATTTCACTAGGGATATATTATAATTTGAGTTACTAGGGATACAAAGTAATTTGAGTCACTAAGGATATATTATAAGTTGAGTCACAGGGATATAAAATAATTTGAGTAACTAGGGATATAAAAAATTTGAGTAACGAAAGATATAAAATAATAAGAATAACTAGGGATATAAAACAATTCGAGTAACAATGGATATAAAATAATTTGAGTCCCCAAGGTATTACATAAAAAGAAGTCCTTTAAGAAATTAATGTTTAAGCCTCCTCCCTAGCAATAGTTATTTACACAAGTACTTACACAGCTGATTAAGTGTATTATAGGGCAGTAGCAACCAGATTGGAAATAATACTTTATTTCCAGCATATTAAAGCATAGTAATCATATGTCTAACTGGCTTTTAATGTACCACTTCTATAGTAATAATAAAAATTAAATTTTCGTGGATTACACGCTCCACCGGTGTACATTTGAATATCCGAGCCGGGCCAATCTTTGCGGTCCTACTTTGGGCTGTACCGTCAATATACAATTACTGTAGCGGCAGAGAGGTGTGATTATTATGTTTGAATTGTTAGAAATAATAAACCCATTTAAAGTTCGAACAACCATAAACCTTCTTTGGGGTCATGCGAGTTGCCCCATGAAAATTGGTTAAACCGATTTGACATTTATGGAACACAAACAATCAGAAAAACAGACAAACAAAGGATAATTTTAACAATATATAGAATAGATGAATAAAGATATTAGGAACGAGATTAATCACTTCACACTTTGATAGAGGTTTCAGACATCATGTTGCAAAGATATAAGGTTTAGAAAGTTATCAGTTGCTTTTGTTTCATCGGGATTTGGTTTGAACCCGTCTGGATGCCTTTTCTGGGAACTGAAATGTTTTGATTAAAAGGATTTAAGAAATTTCCTTGAATGAATATTGAAAATAGAATTGCAAAAATGGTTTTTTGATTCACGCAATATCGCGTTAAAATTAAAATCTTACAAATTTTTAATCATAAATTTTTAGATTTCAGAAGAGCAAAATATTTTGATTTCAAATATGCAAAACAATATAATTGTTCCTCGTGTAAAATCTAAGCTATAAGAGGAGCTCTACGAGGTCACAAAATCATTCCAGTATTTATTTTGTTTAGATTAGAGTGTTTTTTTACTGGCATAACTATATTTTCTCACATAAGTAAATATTTATTAACCCCAATCTCTTTGCATGTGTCGTAGAATTTGAAGTCCATAAATATATGCATACAAGCATCGTTCTAAATATATTTTCTCAAAATGTGTCGGAAGAAGGAAAATATTGCGTTCTCTAAGTTAATTAAATAATATGTCTGTTTTAACTTCATATTTAAGATTCCTGTTTCTTCCACAGTGAAACCCTTAATAACGAACACATCGAAAGAATTCATCAAATGTCGTATTCTTCACTTTCTGATAATGGAATGTTGCAGATATTTAGTTTTTTAATTAAATAATTCTTTGGAACTCTTTAAAACTGTTCTCGCATATATTCAAGGCTATTTATTTATTTTCGCAAATACTGAAATTTACGTAATATAGCATAAAACTCATTGAAAAATTGTCAAGACGACATTTGATAAATTCTTCCGAGGAGGGGAGGGGAGGGTTATATAATTGTTAATGTTGTGATTGAGTTTCTACATATCTAATGCACAATTTACTTATGAAGAATAACATTTAAAGAACTTTTGATTAAAAATCAATTTAAAACATGTTAGACTTTCAGATTAGTTTTCAATGACCATTTTAAAAGTTTTTTTGTGTACTTTTTATTATACTTTTTGTGTACTTTTTAGTGTACTTTTTAGTGTGCTGTTTAATGTACTTTTTAGTGTGATTTTTAGTGTACTTTTTCAGTGTTCTTTCTAGTGTACTTTGCAGTCTTTTTTCTATGTCATTTATAGTGACTTTTTCAGTGTACTTTTCTGTTTACTTTTGAGTTTACTTTTAAGTGCACTTTTGAGTGTATATTTCAGTATACTTTTGAGTTTACTTTTAAATGTACTTTACAGTGTAGTTTTCATTGTACTTTTCAGTGTACTTTTCAGTTAAATTTGAAGCTTACTTTTAAGTGTAATGTTCAGTGTACTTTTAAGTATAATGTTCAGTGAACTTTTCAGTGTACTTTTTTTTGTGTACTTTTTAGTGTACTCTTGAGTGTATTTTTTTACTTTACTTTGCAGTAAACTTTAAAGGTTTTGCTTCTTTCAGAATTAAGTAATTTCAGGGATGGATAACCTTTTCTAATTTATGTACCACTAACAAAATGTATAGAAATTCATTAAAAAATTCAAATTGCGATCTTAATAGAAGAGCAAGATTTATTTGATAAACTTTTTTTACCGTAAATATTTGCCATACAGCTCTCTGCTTTAATACATTTTCTCTTTGTTCATCTTAACATTGATTTTAGAAACAAATTGTAATGAAATGAATTTTCTTGGATACGGTCAAAATATGTCTCTGGTACGAATATCGTTCGAATTGGGTAGGCTATAAAGATACGGTAGGGTCTTATAGAGTAGGATACTATAAGGATCATATAGAGTAGAATACTTTAAGGATCATATAGAGTAGAAGATACTATGAGGATCATACAGAGTAGAATACTTTAAGGATCATATAGAGTAGAAGATACTGAGGATCATATAGAGTAGAATACTTTAAGGATCATATTGAGTAGAAGATACTATGAGGATCATATAGAGTAGAATTCTTTAAGGATCATATTGAGTAGAAGATACTATGAGGATCATATAGAGTAGAATACTTTAAGGATCATATTGAGTAGAAGATACTATGAGGATCATATAGAGTAGGATACTATGAGGATCATATAGAGTAGAATACTTTAAGGATCATATTGAGTATTATATTGTAAGTATCATATAAAGTAGGATAAAGCAAGGATTATATAGAGCAAGATACGGTAAATATTATCTAGTGTAGGATAGGATACAGTAAGGTTTATAAAGAGCAAATTACAGTAAGTGTTATTTAGTGTTGGATGCAGTAAGGGTTTATAGAGTAGGATACAGTGAGGTTTATCTGTTGAAGGATCCAGTAAGTTATTTGTCAGTTGTCTAAAAAGTCTTATGATTTCGGTAATCCCTCTTGGTAACCCCTTTTAGTAACCCCTCTCAGTAACTCCCTTCGGTAATCCCTCTCGGTAACCCCTTTCGGTAGTCTCTCGGTAATCCCTATCGGTAACCCCTTTCGTTAACCCCTTTCGGTAACCCCTTTCGGTAAACCCTCTCTGTAATCCCTTTCGGTAATCCCTCTCGGTAACCCCTCTCGGTAACCCCTCTCTGTAACCCCTTTCGGTAATCCCTCTCGGTAATCCCTCTCGGTGACTCCTTTCGGTAATCCCTCTTGGTGACCCCTTTCGGTAATCCCCTTTGGTAATTCCTTTCGGTAACCCCTTTCGTCTCAACAGTAAAAGTCTAGCGAATATTTATTCTATATTAATATTCTTAAGATAAAGTAAAGTAAGCAGTATGAATAATATTTTCTTTTATTACAAGGATTATTATATTCGTTATGTTTTATTATGCAGGCTCATATACATTGTACAGTATCCAACATTTGAATAGGCCGGAACATGATGGGCTCTTGACGCCCCTGTACTCACAGTAGAAAATTACTCTTGGCGACTGAAATTTACAGCTTTTTAAAATGTATTCTGATTTTTTTTACCCTCTCTGATCACTCTTTTATAGTAAACCCCGATCAAAAATTATTAGATCACTGCACTGGGCTGGTTTTTAAGAGAGACCTAAGGATAAATAAAGATAAAGAACGGAACAGGATTGACCAAATCCAGTAATATTTTAACCAATAGGTCCTGACATTCTAGAGTCACTGTGATATTTATTTAAGTGAGCGTAATTTAAAGTAACGTTCTTATTTTGAAAATCTCCGATTTATTACGGTACATTTAAACCATTTACTGATTAAGGATGTCGTACATTTCCATATTAATCTACTGAAATGCTTTTAATGTCTTTACTCTTTGTTTGCAAGCTGTTTACTTTTGAATGTTTGAAACATTCGAATTACGCATGTAATAGGTCAGCTGTTTGAGTTCAAAATTCACGGTAGAGAAATAAAAACGGATTTGAATATGTTTAAAAGTCTCTGTACTCGATGAAAAGTCAAAGGTTTCAAGGGTATCATTGTGAATTTGGCATTGCCCTCTTTTCAAGCTAAGGGTCGTTAGAAAAAAAATACAGTCCTTGTAAGTTAGAATCCGACCCTCTGATTTTGTGTTAATTACAAAGCATTTAGAAACTCAAAAATTAAAAAAATAATTTATAGAATTTTACAAATTATCCAAACTTCAATTTTTTATTCAAATCTATAACTTTTCTGATCTTTATAAGCTTGGTTAGATAAGATATACATATACACTATACAGTAATAACCAGAAAACTCTAGAATAAGTAGAATACTTGTTAACCTCAATTTATTTAAACAATCCAATAAACATGAGACACAGCAATTGTAAAGTGTAAAAAAAAACATTTAACTTTATAAGGGAGTGATTAGGTCACTAATAAAACAACAATTGATTTGTAACAACATCAAAAACACTTTAGTGTTTCTAAACATTCGTCTTCATATTCCACAGTTTGCTGGTAAGATCTTACTGTATGTTATTAAATTAATTGTTTGCATAATCTTTAAAGATTTTTGTATACTTTTTGACACTCATTGTAAATAGAAAATAATTTTTCTATATATAATTTAATTATATGAATCTAAGTTTTTAAAATTATAAGTATTTAATTCGGAAAAAAAATTTAATTAAAACCAACAAGAAAAACAATGACTAATTATCGATAGCTGTTAAATAGATAACATGTAAACATTGAACAGATTTTTATTTCACATAATCATTATTAGAGTACACTTATAATCATCATTACAGTGAACACATAATCATCATTACAGTGAACACATAATCATCATTAGAGTAAACATATAATCATCATTAGATTAAACACGTAATCATCATTAGAGTAAACATAGAATCATCATTAGAGTAAACACGTAATCATCATTAGAGTAAACATAGAATCATCATTGGAGTAAACAAATAATCATCATTAGAGTAAACACAATGCATCTTTTTGTTTATTCTTTTGGAACAACTTAGCCTTATTATGTATAAATCTATATAAATATAAAATAGTAACTTTTGTCCAATCATAACTCATAAATCACTTGACCGATTTGCCTTTAAACTCGGTAAAAAACAACGGTAAGACTTTTAGCTAGCTTGGTTTAAAAAAGTTAAGGTAGGTCGACTTCCAAAGAAAAAATTATGTTTTTAAGCAAAGCTGGGTTTCCAAGATAGTATATATGATCATATATAGACGATTATATCTCAATTAAATTGGAAAAATCTTGGTCAAAAGAGAATAGAATAATATCTGTCATCAAAGTACGATCGTCATTATTTTTATCAAAACTATTTTCTCGCAAACTTATTTGCTGAGCATGCATAACATGAGCTGGAATTTGTTTCCAACTAAGATAGTTTACCAAATTTACATGTATTGAAACTTTTTGCCAGTTTACAAATATGTTCAGAACATTTTAAAGTTGCATTTTCCTGCAAAAAGTTTGTTTTTTGTTACTTTGTTTAAAATAATATGAAATTCAAACAGGAAAAGAATCTGAATATAAAAAGGTTTCAGCTGAATTGGAAGAAAATAAAGTTTTTATAACGCAATCAAACAAATGAGATGAAAGTTTTTTTTATAAAATTCCACACTTTAAGCTTGAAAAAGTATATTTATAAGGATTTATATACTTTATAAACTAACAAATAATATTTATAAATAAAGGATCAATTTATAAAAATTGCAAAGATTGTCCGATTTATAAACGATACCCTTAAAAGCTTGGTCTGATGTTTTAATTTTTAAACTGTTATTTGCAACCGTGGTTTCTCTACAAATGAGACTTGCGTATTTCTTGCTTATAAAAAGAGAGGATGGAGAAATTATCAGAATTAAAAACAGTTTAAGTTAAAAAAGCGACGCTATCACCACATTTTTATCAGATTGAGATATAAGGGGGCACAGTTGTGAATTGGGCATTCCTTTATAAAAAGCTGGTTTTTTGGTATGCAACAATTTTCATTTAATCCCGCCGGGATATTTTCATTGAAAGATACTTTGAAAATCTACAAAGGCCAAAAAAAATTCCACAAAATCCGCAAGCCCTCGGGTTTATCATTGAATCCCCTCTTTAAAAAGTAATATTGTATATGAATAAAAATCAATAAAGCAATGCACTGAGTTTCTCAAATATTCAACGAGTCGGTTTTTCTTACAATATATTGATATACAAAAGATACAAAAAATACAAACTTTAAATCGAACGATACTTATACAAACTAAATATTATGAATCAAATCAGTTTCATCAAAACAGGGGAATTCTTCAAGGGAACCTCAGTTTAAGGGAGCTGATGATCAACTAACTCTCCTCCTTCGATTTTGCTTTATCCTAGGATCGCATTTAACCCTAGCTACCCCGGGGTTGTTCCGCCCCCTCCCCAACGCTTGGGTCTTCAAGATAACGGAAAATTCGGCGTCGCTTGGGTTATTTATAGAATCCAAATGCAAACTCAAATAAATCCGTTAGGATTCAAAATAGGACTCTAAAGTCCAACCGTAGGGTTAAAGAATGGGGGGGGGGAAGGGGGCATGATTCCCCTTGGTAGCTATGATCTCAGCGATCCAAAAAATCCTTGAATTGCTGATCGTAAAAGATCAACAAAACTCGCCCACTGTTACAGTAATGTCATTTAAACCCCCGAGGGATTCAATGATAAACCCTTGGGCTACGCCCTCGAGTTTATCATTGAATCCCTCGGGGGTTTAAATTTCCATTGATTCTAATTTGTCTGAGAGTAAATGATACATTGCAATCTTTGCATTGATGGTGACTTGAAATTACGCTTAACAGTCTAATGAGTTTTATAATTAACATAAACCTATAAATAATAAGATTTTTTATTTCAGTCTATACTTGTTGAGTATTGCTTTACAAGAGCTTGATTTCAGGTAACCTACATACAGTGCTTTAATAGAAAAAATATGAGATTATTTTTAATTGTTTAAAAACTAGAAAACAGTGATATCCTATTCGCCTTCGTTCTGAACTTTTATTAAGAAATGTAAAACTAAGAAGAATGTTTCTATTTGTGAATGTTAAAACTTCTAAAATTCTAGAATTTTGAGGGAAAAAAATGTTTAACCAATTACCTGCAAAGATGTGAGACTTAATAAACATAATTCAAATTGACTTACTATTTTTGAAATGACATGTCCGCTTGAGAATGATACCCTAAATGTACAGTTTTATCTGACAATGCTCAGAAGATCTTTGGTACTTTCCCAAAGGATTTTTCCCAAGTGCCACCTTCCCAAGAGTATTTTCCTAAGCGGCAACTTTCCAAGTCTGTTCTAGCCACAGCGCTCGACCCTCTCAGCCTGTCCTAGCCGCGGCACACAGTCCCCTAGCCCATCCTAGCTCGCTCGGCCTCCATTGCAGCCTGCGGCGCCTCAGAGGGCCTTTAGGAAATTGCCCCTTGGGAAATTTCACATGTGGGAAGTTGCCATTTGAGAAATTGTCACTCGGGAAGTCGCCCTTGGGAAAATGCCTTTGGGAAAGTACCTAACACCGATTCAAAAAGATATTCTTTTGACAAATCTTAATAGAAGTGACAATGGATTTTAGAAAAAGAAAACTGGACAAATTCTGTTAAGTCGTCTCTGAAGTCTCATCCTTTGTGGGTAACCTTATACATTATACCTTTACATACACTTCTTTGTGAAGGTTTATATAAATGAATGGATGCCTCAGTTCTCCAAACTTGCCTTTTCCGATTAGTGTTCACATGAATCAACATTTTATGGGAATATTCTGATGATTTTCATAAACATTGATATTTATATTATTTCTGCTTTTTCTTTGTTACATTATCATGATGTTCTCCCGCAGATATAATGAATACGGGGGGTATTCATTATATTATTCCTTCCCTCTCCTCCTTCCTACCCTTCTCCTTCCTACCCCTCCTCCTTCCCCCCTTCTCCTTCCTACCCCTCCTCCTTCCTCTTGCCTACCCCTCCTTCTGCCTACCCCTCCTCCTTGTTAATATGTA